TGCATACATTTTCTCTCTTTGAGATTAACCTTGTTAATCTTATCTGTCCTTGAGATTTCGGTTTTTGTAAAAGGAATGTCCAACATGAGGGAGAAGGTGTGAGAGCTATTTCGAGGGGATAGGAGCAACAGGCCAAGGTGTGTGACATCCCCCTCAAACTGGGAAGCTGTCTGCCTCATTACTTAAGGCCAGTTCAGTTTGTACCTCTACTCCAAGGACCAGCCCTGCTGGCAGTTGGCCCTGTTGACTTCTCCTGGGTCTTCTCGGATCACACGTTAGCAATGTGTGCTCAGAGGCTAGGATAGGAACTTGCCATCCAGCCTCAGCTGCTGGCTGGACTGTCAGATAGCCCTGGGATAGCTGCAGATTCATCTGCAGATTCTTCATGGATTGAAAATGAAAATCCAGGCCAGCAGTGGCTTTCAATGGATGAATTAGGAAAGGGAATAGGTGACCACCTATGTTAATCCTTTTGCAGTTGCCTTGATGGAAAAAGTATTAGGTTCCCATGAAACATGGAAGGCACCCATTTTTCTTCCTCACCTTCCAGCAGCCTATCTGGAATGGTTGAACCAGACCATTTCCAGGGCTTTCAGCTTTGCTGTTAGTGCCATAAATGAGAGTCAATCAGTGACGGGGGACAGAGAAAGGAAGGAGCTATCCCAGTGAGTATGCCTCAGAAATGTATGCCTGCCTGTGGATGTGCTAGGCACACTTGTAAACCAGTCTCTGAGACAGGTCTCAATCAACTTAGAAGTTTATTTTGCCAAAGTTAAGAACAAGCCTGGAAGAAAGGAACACAGAATCACAGAGACAGTCTGTGGTCTGCGTCTTTCTGCAAAGATATTTTGAGGGATTCAGTATTTAAAGGGGAAAAGTGGAGACGAAAGAGGGAGGGTATGGTCACATCGTTGAATCCATGCATTGTAGGAAAAAAGGAGCAGCTACAGGAACAGCCAGTGGTCTATTCATCTCAGTAAATTGGCACTTTACATAAAAGGTGAGCCTAGTGTAGCCATCTGTGGAGATATCTGGCCTTTCATCTGATAGCTATTTGCTTAGCAACAGAAGGAAAAAGCTGTTTCTTGCTTGACTCAGCTTCCATCTTAATTTTTTTCCTTTTTGCATAGTGAATTGGGGGCCCGAAATTTCCTTCGCCTTTCACACACTGAAACCACGTGTGTGAAACTCCCTCCACATTCCTACGTGGCTTTCTGACTACCCTTTCCTCTGCAAGGATCATAATATAAAAGTATTAGGAGGCAGGAGTGAAAGAGATTTTTTTCATTCCTGGTTTCTGTTATCCACTATGCCTTGACCTTCGCTCTGTCCATGTGATCACACTACTTCCTGAACGTAGCCCATTGGGCGCGTCATCCGCGGGACTGATTCGGCCTCCCACGCGCTTCCTGAGGCCGGACCGCAGCGGGGACACCTCCTTCCAAGCCCACCAGGGGGCGCGCGAGCCTCAGGAGACGGAGGCGGTGGATGCGGAGCTGCGGTGCTGGAGGCCAGCTGTCACTCCAGCCCAGCTGGAGATTCCTGTTGGGAATGCTTGGGATAGGACAGCTGTGAGGGATCCCCGGGGCCAGGGGAAACCCCACACATCCAGAAAAAAAAAAAAAAAAAAAAAAAAACCAGAAAACGCGTGCACAGTTTTTCTTGGTTAATCAAAGTCAAATTCCTCTTCCCACAACCGCTGTGGTGCCGGCTGGCTGGCAGGATGGAAGACCCAGGATGGCACCGATCAAAATCCGAAAAAGGCAGGGCCCAAAGTCATTCCTGGGTTTTGTTGTTTAATGTCATCAGAAGTGGGCCGTGACAGCAATCTGCCCACCACTTGCCCAATCAGGTCCTCTTGCCTTTCATGCTGAGAATAAAGCCATTCCCCCGCCCCACGCCCGCCCCAGGATCCTGGGTTTGTTCTGTTTAGGCTTCAATAGTCACTGGCATCCTTCACTTGGCTCTGCATGAGAGAATAAAAACCCTGGGGTGGGAACAGGCTCATGTAACTCCTAACCATGCCCGATGTGTGCGGAGGGACCTGTCGTGGACACTGGTGGCTTTTCAACGTCATCTCAAAGTTTACAGGTAAAAGGAGAAGGATGGGTGTGTATAAAATCATTTAAGAATAGACAGGACAGCTGTGTCTGAATCGTAGGACACCACAACCGAGGCCCCCACGCCCACCCCTAACACATACAGATGGTATTTGGAGATAAGAACTGGTGTCTGGCACAGAGCGGGCTTCGGGAGTTGTCCCATCTCCCTTCTTTTCTTCTTCCGTCCACTCCATATTCACTAAGAGTGGGAAACTTGGTTTCCTTCTAGAATGTGCTAGAGGATAAATAGAGCCCTCACATCCTGTATATTCATCTGTAGGAAATGAGGGCTCTATTTTCAGCTGTCAATGAAAATTCCAAGCCATCCACACACAAATGTAGGAACAGGCATCTGTTTGTTTGCCAGACAATTTGTTTCTGAAAACTTTACTTCAGGGACCCTTGTTTAAACCTTCTATAACGTGCTGGATCTTTGCACACGGCTTGGAAGTGTGGATGGTGTGAGAGAAGCCATCAGCCCTGCCAGCCAGTTGAGTTCAGCAGCGAGCTGCCGGCCTCCTCCATGCCTGGAAGATGGAAAGGATCGTTTGCTGTTTGGAAAATGGAGCTGCATTCTGGGTGACACGCAGAAGACTGAGCAGGGCAGCACCGCATTGCAAGAAGGCACACAATTACTACAAAGATAGCTCACGAGATCTCATTAGATATTTCATTGTTATAGTATGGAAAGGAAGCATAGCTGTGTGCTGGCATACATGACGCAACTTTAAATCTCAAGTCATAATTTTAGAAACCAATAGAACCTAATATTAAAGCTAAACTACCGGGCTCTTGAAATGATGAAACACTATTCCAATTGCCCTTTTAAAAACACAATCAGAAGGTATGTTCCTGGTAAATTCCACCTTCATTTTGGACACTTGAAGAATCAGACTTTTACTGGCCTGGGTCACTGGGTTTCCTCTTTGAGATGAGGAGGCCTTATTTGACTTCACCATCACATGACACAAAATAAATGCATTCCACCTACCTGGCATTTCTAGGACCATCTATTTCTTTTTGTCTTCAAATGATCGTGATTTCCTGCTCCATTCACCTCAATACCTCACCCACACCTCCTTTCTATATTTACTAATTGCTGTAATCTTTCTCATCTCCATGTAACTTTTTTTTTTTCTGAAGCATTCCAACTTGGATCTTTTTGAAATTCTCTATATAAATCACAAAAGGCTGTGACTTCCCACAGTGTTTCTTAATTTCTGACCTTAGCAACCTACATCCTGATAACCCTACGGACATTTATTTAACTGTTTCCCCATGCAAACAATAAGAAATGGGGGAGGAGGATGGCAGACATCTGGCTTACTCAAGAGATGCTGTGTTAGTCTGGACTTAGAATATTCCCAGAGAATATTCCTGTAATCTGTATTAACTGCTCATTTGTGAATGTTCTAACCTCACAGACTCTGACGCATTAGGACAAAGCCCTTTGCAAGAAACTGTCTTAATGGAAAGCTCGTAATGCAAGAAAGTTTAGGCCCAGGGAATGGACTTTATACACTGAGAGATGCCAGAAATACAGGGAAGCACTGGGCACCTTACAAACAAAGTAGATCGCACAACTCAATGTGCCTTCATTCTCAGAAATCTGCTACTAATAGCCTTGTAATCATTTCTGATTGAGAGATGGTAACCTCAGGGCCGAGCAAGGTTCCTGCATTCATAAAATTCTCAGCTTCATAGCTGCTCTTCTACAATTTTGAATTCTACTGTTCATTTTAGGGTGTTCTTGGGAAAGGGTAGTGGCTGGGCTAATGCGTATTGCAGTGGGCAGAAAACCAGCAAGTGTTTCTCCAATTATTTGCTTTCATAGCTTTTCTGGAATTTGGACCCAGTACTGTAGCTTGAAAAGGTGAAGGCACATGCATGCGTGTATGTGCACATATGCGCATGTGTGTATTTGTGTGTGCTGGGGATAAGGGAACATGCCCCAGTTAATGAGTGGAGCAGTGGGCCAGATCCACATCCTGTGTAACTCCCGCAGGCTGCTGCTATAATGAAAGTTCCCTTCACAGGGTTGAACACAGTGAGTCCCAGAGGGATCCTGGCTGAAGTGGGTGGAAATTCAGTGTTTCTTGTCCCACTGAATTTTTGAGCATGACAACCACATCCTGCTCCCGATACTGTGTGCTTTCCTTGATTGATCATGTCAAGATAGCCCTGCTAACATTGCGCTCCAAGCCTGGCTCGATTCTTCTTGATATAACTCCAGGAACCAAATCAGTCAAAGGCCTTCTTTCTCTAATTCTAATTCTAATTCAAGGGATTTCCCCCAACCCAACCTCTGTCTCCATCTTCTTAGTACCAAGCTCTGCCCAAAGTTGATCATTCCTGAAGAATGTGACATGCACTTACAGCATAACAATGATTTCCTTTAGGGACTTTCGGTAATGCACCATTCATTTGGGATAGGGATGTGACAATTCTCAGGCAAATGTGGGAGTAGATGTCTATGTCATTTGTGAATATGTAGAAATAAAGAGTTCATTTACGTTAACTGTCCCACCTCTGCCCCATACCTCTCCTTCTCCATGAAGAAAAGAGAGGCAGAAGCAGAATTTAAGTAGAATTTAAAATTAAAAATAAAAAGAAGATATGTTAAAGAGTTAAAATATTAAAAGAAAACTCCTTTGAACCTCAATAAAGAAATGGCTGTTGAATCTCAGCCTCTTTTGCCCCATCTTCCTAATAGCTGTGCCCATTTATGTTGCCACACAGCCCACATATCCTGAGTAGTCCCACATCTCTATTATTGTCTCATTTGCCTTTTGGGATAGGACTTCTATTTGCAATGTAGGGTTGCTGTATCAATAGCACATGGTTATTAACTCTAATATGGATGCTATTAACTCTAATATGAGTTAACTCTAATATGGATGCTATTTTCATAAATATTTATATTTTTTAATGAAATACATACACACACACACACAAAAAGCACACATGCAGATAATTCACAATCAAATCCTTGGAAAAGGTTCTGCCATTTGTTCAACAAGGTCAAGTGTCATTAGGAGCACAGAACAGCCAAATGTAAAATTTCTTTCCAGGAGCTTTCTAAGTGGTTGGAATAAACACAACTTAGACCATGCAAAGGTCTTAATGTATATTGGTCTGGGAACTTAAAGATGGAAACAGAGAATACATAAGGAGCTCTACAACACACCAAGGGCCATTATCCACAGTAACAATAACAGTGACAACAACAATAATAATGTACAATGCTATACGATTATTAAAATCTATACTGCACAGAGAAGTACCTGCTTAAAGCCATTAAATATATGACAGGGTCTGTCTTCAGTGCAATATATCAAATTTGGTAATTGAAGGGTATATAAAAAATATATTTTTTGCTTTCAAAATGTGGAACAAATATATAAGGCTTTTCTGATAAACTATAAAAATTTAATCTGCACTTGGATCTAATGACGTATCTTTATAATACTTCCTCTGCAGATACATTCACTTAGTTCAAACCTTAACATATAAAGTATATATGCATGTGTTTAGCCTCAGGAGAATCATATTTCCTTCCATTCATTTCTTATAAATATTATTATCCACTCGAAGTGGTTCTGATGAAGGAATTTCCTCCCTATTTTTTCAGCCTTTTTTCCCTCCTCTTAGCTAAGAAGACATCAGGAAGACACTGCCCAAAGCATTCATTCCCTGTGGCTGACTTTCAGTTTCCATTTTTGAGCCATTAAAAAAAATTCTCAATGTTGCACTATCTGAGTGATTATATTAGATCATTAACATGGAAATCTTAAAATGTGGCCCTTAATGTTGTCTTTATTTGTTCCTATTTTCATCTTTCTCTTTTTCTTCTTTTTCCCTTTCTCCCTCTTTCCCTCCCTTCCTTCCTTCCTTTCTTCCTTCCTTCCTTCTTAGAATTCACTGAAGTATTTTCTAGGTAGCCTTTTACTTACTATGTTCATCAAAGCTTATCTCTGTGCCCAATGTGTAAAAAGTGAAAATGTCTCTTTGAAATTCTATATTACAATATAGACAGAGAAGTTGGGCCTTGGGGGGCTTGAGTTTCACTTAAATACTATACACATGTGCTATCACACAAGGGGGAGGTGGAGGGAACAAACATAAACATAACAATTACTTTTGGTCTGTCTTTACAAAACAAAGCCTCTTCTCTCTGAAAAAGTCTTTTTGGCATCTGCTCCTGGAAACCTGCCCCAAGAACACGTTCCCCATTGCTTTGCAAGGATCTCTTTTTAAAAGCACATCCACTGTCCCCAGGAGGTCACGTAGGTTGGATTATCCTGTTTTTAGTTGAGCAACGAATAAGCACTGGATGAGTTTTCCAGGGATGAGCTGGTTGCTTCTGGGGTGGAAACATTATATGTTCCTGAAAAACAGAGCAGCAACTCAGCCTTGAAGACAAGCCGTCATGAACTTTGGGGTGTGAACATCTCCTAAGGGACCCAGGGGAGCAGTGGTCCAGGCACCAGGTAAGCTCGGCCATGCCTGGAAACCAGCCCATACCTGCCCTCCTCCCAAGACCCAGAAATGCCAGAGAACTAACAGAGCTGTCGTTCTCATGCATGCGTGGCAGCCAACAAGCAGTCACTACTTCACATCACACCGGCAGCCAGGTTTCTACGGAGGACAGGAAGATCTCAAGGTGGGAAGCCCTCCACATGCCATCACATGCATGGTCTGGGAACATCTGCATGATGGAATCTCCCTGGTCCACTTGGGTTGTGGTGACTTGAGGAAGCTCTTGGGAGGGACCTGGACGCTCTACCAAAGGTGGAGGTTTGTATAGAGAGTAAAGGGAAAGAAAAGAGAAAATTATAAGGGGAGAAAAGGCAGGACCAGAAAAGAAGCAGGAGTCAGGAATGTCAACAGAACTGCTGAGAGTCAGCGCAGCAAGGAAGGCAGCCCCGGAGCAAGTGCACAGGCTTGTGTCTGCTGGGAGGTGGGGACTGTGCACGGGGAGTGGGTGGAGAGTGGGTGTCGGGCGAGAGAAGGGTTGAAGTGCCCACCCTACCATCAGATTGCTGAACTGCCACCGCTAACATGGTTTCCATCATGGCCTGGGGGGATCTTAGAGGCTGCTGACAACATAAACCAAAGTGACAGTGCTTACAGAGCCCCCAAACAGGGCCCATTGGGACTTTCATAATCAGAAGTCAAGGTCCCCTAGTTTCATGAGTAATTCATCAAACTGAAGCGGAAAAAAACCCAAGTCCTCTGGAGTTTTAACAGTTATAGGCATTCACAAAATTTGCTTGTATATGAAAAGCCTTCATCTGGAATATTGACACATTTCTCAACTCTGCAATTGTGAAATCTGTTCAGTTTCAAAAAGCTAGAAGAAATCCTGGGGCTGATTTTCCTGCGGGGGAGGGATGGTGGCATGGGACAGGGGTTTCAATTTCCTAGAATAGCTGAGATCTGTTGCCCAAAGTTATTAATTCATTATTTCATATCTCCAAGGTAGAAATTTAACCATGAATATTTCTAATAGAATAGCTAACTTGGAGGATCCCTTACGTAACACATGCACAGTTCTATGCTTCAATGTTTAACATAAGCCCACTTTATAAAAAGAACAAAAAAGGGAAACAAACCTACATAGTGAGATCCTGTAGTAAGATTTTCTAAATATATTATTTGCTGCCCCATAACCCTGAAACATGACCTATCTACTCTTATTTAACATAATTTGAGAAGAACTCTGTGTTTGACAAGGTCAGCAATTTACAGTTCTCATTTTGATGGATGAAATTTTGACAGACAGCTCTCCAAATCATTGTCTAGATTTTCCAAATCTTATTCTTTATGAGTTATTAAAAGTTGCCCCACAAAGGCAGCTGCCCTCTACACCCACTTTTTGGTGATTTGTGAAAAGTTCCTCTATTTAACTTCTACCCCAAAAGAGGACATTTCAGGTAAATGCCATGAGCGGGGTGAAAGAGTAGGGGTGTTGAGGCTCCACATTTGAGCAAATGTGTTCTGGGTGAGCAGGGAGAACCTAGAGGCCACTACTCACCTGTTTTACCAAACAAATTGTTAAATCTCCTTGATATTGGAGAACTCATAGAAAACACAGGTGTGGATGAACCCAAGGATGTTGACTAGAAGAGAGAAAAAGAGGGACAATCACAAGGCAAATTTGTGGGGCCAAAGTTGTTTCTATCTCTAGGAGGATTGATTTTCCACCCTCTATGGTCACTGCCGGCATCTCTAGTCCCACTCCCAGAGGTCACATTAAAATACTGGAATCTTATCATCTGTATTAGAACAATAACTGTCAAATACAAGTTTTATTGTTTGTTAGGCTTCTAGTATTTTCTGACATGTGAAAGACAGTCAAATATATCCAAAGGCAATAGTTGTGTTCGAAAATGAACTATAGAAAATTCTATCCATTATTATTCTTCAACTTGTTTTCTCTAATACCTTGAATCCCCCCAGAAGATTGCTTCTCATTGAACATTTGATTTCAACCTTAAGTTTAGATCATATATTATTTTAAACCCTATTTAAATATGTGGAGTAGCATCTCAACGGCAGCTCTATGGCTCTGTTTAATAGGCAGAATGACTTGAGAAGCAAAAACAATGGAATGATCTATGCCTAATATAGCTGTTGAGGGAGACAGGTTTGAGGATGCAATATATTTAGCCTAATTGATCAAAATCCCAAAGAAATAATTTAGTACTCTATACTTCATAATGCTAGTGAAATACATGAGGTTACAAAATGAAAAGTCTGCAGAGAAAAGGTATACCTTTGAGTGCTGTGAAGACCATCGTGACAATGAAAACTTATTCAGCAAAGCTTCCTGTACCTGCAATGTTTAAAAGAAGCTATCGTAACTTCAACATGCCACAAGCACTTCAGGCTTTTCTAGAAACAAGAAACTGTCATTGCTCTTACCTTCAGATCCCAGAGGCATCCAAAGAGTAAAATGAATAATCCCTGAGAAAAAAAGATTAAAAAGAAGTACATTTTAATCATAGTCTATTGTCCAGCAAAAGAGAAAGTACTGTTAACCTAGTGCTAAATTTGTATGACTTCTTTTTCCATCTGAGTTCATGGAATGAGTCCAGTACATGATACTGTTCAAAGAGGCAGTTGGTTCACACCAAAGGACTCTAAATGTTATGATGTTAGGAGGATATTTTCTATTTTCCCATTTTCCTTTAGTTGAGAACTGGAGGTCCTGTTGGTTATGCTATTAGTACACCTCTTGTGTCTACAATATTCCTCACATAGTTATGATAAGAATCTGGGCTGTGGGGTGGGATAACTAGTTCCTTCCAAATGAGGCATATCATGAAGGTCATTACATATGAACTTTATAGCTTGGAGACACAGGCCCAGTAGCAGAAATCAAGGTTCATATGTTCTTGGCACAAGCATCCTGAAAGCAGTATCTCAAATGCACCTCCAGCCTCGGCCTCTTCACAAGCTCACAGTGGCCTCAATCCTTGGGCAGGTTTTTTCCTATCCTTACCACTTCTCCAATGGGTGAAACAGAATTAATCACTTCTTTCCTTGTCCTTTAAAGGCTTGCTAACTATACCTCTGCTATAGTTCTTCTATCAGACTGGCCTGTATTATAATTAGTTATGTGCTGCATGAGAGCGAAGAAGATGTTTTTTCATTATAGTATAATCAAGCAGATTGTCTGGCATTCACAGGACATTCATTCTTTGATTTTTGATGTTTCCAGAGAAGCTGCTATGTGATACATAGGATTTATTTCATTCAAACGATTATTGAGAACCTACTCTGTACCAAGGTCTCTATCAGGCATAGGGGTATAGTGATGAATAAGAAAGGGGCAATCCCTGTCCTCACAAAGACAGGATTTTCATCTAGGAGATAATAGACTGCATCAAGATAATCTTAGACAAATGGGGATTTTCCTTTTACTAGTGTAATCAGGGTATCTAGCAGAGACTGGCAAATGACACTAGGTTATAAAGTAGGAGATAAAAAGCATGAGGTTCCATAGGATCAGAAGAATGTGTTCTTTCCATCTCATTGAGTTCTCATTATTACTGCTCTTTAGGGCTGAGGCTTCCTCTGGACTGAAATCCTTCCCCATTCCTACTCTTGTTTGTGTTTCTATCATTAATTTGTCCTACAGGAATAGAATCTTCCTGAAAGCCCTGCACTGTAAAACTCACCTGGAAGACATTGAGGATGGCAAATATGATATGGAACACAAGGTTGGTCCCTGGGAACACAGTGGTGAGACCAAAACCCCAAGTAAGGCCCAAGAGTGGCGTGAGGACCCCAATGCTCTTGCTGATCTGAAACAGGCTGCTCTTCTCCTGCTTGCATGGCTTGTCTCCAATGGAAGGCCTCAGGATCTTGGTGATGACCACAATAGTGATGGTTATGTTCACCACCACAATGATTAGTGCTGGGATGGCAAAAGCCAGCAGGGCCTTGGTGTCCTCCCAGTTGAGCCAACAGACATTCTTCCTTGTGTAGACTTCTCGGGGCTGGGTGGCTCCCAGCGTGATGACTGAGATGGCAAGCGGGCAACCATAGCCAAGACAGAAGGCAATGGCTTTCTGAGTGGACCTGCTTGTTTCGTGCAGAATGAAAACCAGGCGATAGAACAGCATGAGGCCCAGTGTCAGCATCCAGAAGAAGACACTGAGGTAGAAGAAGTGGATGAAGAAGGTGGCAGCCACACAGGCTGTCTTGCAGAGTATGTAGTGATTGTCCTGGATGGCAGCGACCACAATGAACCAGGTGTTGGCTATCAGAAGGGAGGCAGCAATATTCACTATGCAGGTGTGGCGCATATAGGAAGTCCGGTTCTTGGTCACTGACTTCCACACCACAGCTTCCACAACTAGACAGGCCGCCAAGCTCAAGATGGAAAAGCCCACCCCGACATAAGAAATAATATCCAGTAGTATTCCCAGGAGAGAACTAGGGTCTGGGGAGTCAGGAGACATGAGGATGGAGAATGACGTTAGGTGGTCACAGATACAGGTGACATTGTCCCCATCACCTTCTTCAACATAGCACCCATTGCTGTCCCACCCTCCTGTGTTGTCGGCAAGCCGGAAGTTCCAGAAGACACACTGTGTTTCGCCACCTGAAGGGCTGTTGTTCTTAAAAGTCATTGAAATCCTGAATGGCATAGTCATATTGTGGTTGACAGTGGTCGTCATCACTAAGCTATCTGCAAAATTATTTTCCTGGATATCCTGGGCAAGGATGGCTTGGAGAGTTGGGAAAGCCATGGTGACAATAGATGAATCCGACTGCAACTTTTCTAGATAGCTCTTGTCAATGACCACATTGCCCCAGAGGTCAAAGTGTGGGAAAACAAACCTCTGTTGATAGGTTTTTGGGTGGCTGGACTTGATCACCATGCTGCTCATCTGCACATTAGTTCGGGAGAAGGACAAACGAGGGCTATCTCCTGACTGTAATGCTTGGGAAAATCTTTCCACTGAATGTAGTAGCTGTGAACTCTGATTGGTCCATCGCTGTTGTAAAACCTTCCAGGTGTTCAAGACAGGCTTGCCAAGGATGACATTAACCGTAGAGAGCACGTGCTGAAAGTGAAATGGTATGGGGTCAAACTAACCAAATTCTTTCAATCATAAAAAAGAAAAAACAAACACCTTCCTAGAAACTGACTGTATAAAGGTAACAGGAAAAGAGAAGACAAAAATGAGACATCACAGGTGGTGGGGATTTATGACCTTCTTACGACAGACTTTAGCAGAGGATGGGTCCCCAAGACTGAAAGATGTCAGTAAACGTTTAGCAATGGTGACAGTGAGAATCACACCCACTACACACCCTACTCTGTAAGGTCAATTCAGCAGGCTGGCAGGGATATTTACTATTGTATTTTATTTTAAATCTTAAGTTTGTATTTTTAGTAGAGATGGGGTTTCATCATGTTGGCCAGGCTGGTCTGGAACTCCTGACCTCAGGTGATCCATCAGTTTCGGCCTCCCAAAGTGCCTGTAATCCCAGCTACTTGGGAGGCTGAAGCAGGAGAATCGCTTGAACCTGGGAGGCAGGATACATTTTTCCTGGTGCTCACTGCTCTCCCCGCTCCAGTCCCCTTTCTCCTCAGCACGTGTCTGGTTATAGCTCTGGCCTTCCAAGACTATAGGTCCTGCTGACTGGTCCCACCTCTAAGGCTTCAGCTCTCACTGGGCTCTGTTTGCCCTATTTCCTCTTTTACCTAAGGGGTGATAATGGCTTCTAAATGTTGCTGGTCTCTGAGTGCTTCACCACCCCTTGTTTATTTGTTTGTTTGTTAACCCTGTCTTTACCTCTGTAGGTATCCCTTCATTAAAGCCTTTACATTTGAACTCTTGCGGGTGAATTCTCTATCCTCCCAGAACTGCTATGCTTCCAGAACCTATCCTCCCACGATTGCTTTAAAGTTCACATTTAGTGCTAGACCTTCGAGAATCTCATCTTGTATATTCTGAAAACATTTAATTCCTAGTTTTTCTGGAAAGCAAGTACAAATTTATTCCATTTTAATGAAGAAAATAAAGCAGAGATTCACTAAGAAATATTCCTAAGGTCGCAAAATGAATACTGGAAACATTTCCTAATATCCTAAAAGCTATAGCTGGCAGAACTATCCTGAGCATTGCTCTGGAAAAGACAGAGAAGCTGCAATGGGGAGGAAGTATGTTTCTTGAACACAGATTCTGAGGGGTGAAAAGGCAAGACCCAAAACTCCTGCAAAGGTTAGGCAAACTCACCATCATCGTTTCTGAATTTACTTCGGTTGGAACTGTTGAGAGCAGATCAAGGATGTTAATAATGGCTCCCAGACTCCCAGGAGAAGAGCTGATTTCATGTTCCGCTTTGTCTATGCTAATAGAAAGATCCTTCAGGTATGTAGGGAGCTTCTCATCCTGAGAGGGGCTCTTGATCAAAGCCTAGTAAAACAAAAGCCAACACAAAAAAATTTACCAGTCAGTTCAGCTATCGAATCCCGCTGATCCACCCCTGGCAAAATCTCTCACATCTGTAGTTTCCTTTTTGCTCCATTTCCATCAATATGTCCCATAAGATGATGCGCTTATCTCTTAAGCACTCCACGCACGCTCTTCAGAACAGAATATGACATAAGGCCGCACACAGAAGGGGAACAAACATATGTCAACCTGATAGCTAACTAAAACAAAAAAGGGAAGCTAGATGTGATTGCTAGAGCAGTAGGTTAAGGTTGAGTGCAACGGTCACTTGGATAGTTGGCATGGAAGCACAGTTGCCACTCTTTGGTTTTCCTGATATCGGTTACCCTGCCGGCCATTAAAGTGACTGACCCTTCCAGTTTTCCAGGGACTGGTCTGGTTTATACCTTTTCTGCTAGTGTAATTATTAAGAGTGCCCTCTTATATTCTCAAAATGTGTCCCGACTTGGATGATAGATTATATGGTCACCCTACCTATAATGATTACACTTCTGCTTTCTAACTCTCTCTTCCTTATATGCATATAATAACTCAAATTCTGTCTTTTATGAAAAGCATTTGTTGAAAGTTCCAACCCAGGAAAGTTCCTTCCTCTGAATGCGTAAGTATTGGTTTTATATAACATACTTTCATTTGTGGCATCTCTAGTAGTGTCATCTTGTGTTCTAATTTCAATATTGCTCTAATTAAATTATAAGCTCCTTAACAACATGAACCATGTGCTACATTTCTTTGCATTCTTCTCATTCCCATAATTCCTAACATAGTACAAGTCATATATCTCAGCACACAGTAAGTACCCAGTAAGTATATGCTGAATGGATAAATCAAAAGAAGCATGATAGAGCAGCATGATCCTTTTCCATTGAAAATGTGTGTAGGTATCTAGAATTGGGACTTGGGCCGACATCGAGTTCAGATTACAATTTCTATCTTTCTTCATTGGGATAATTTATAGCCCTCATGCCTCATCCATCAAGGTCCAGCTCAGATGCCTTTTTTTCTTTTCAAGCAGATCTTCTTAATGTATCTTAGCCAAATTAATGTGTATGTAACTACCCAATTCGATTATATTCTTTATCAAATCAGAGACCAAGATCTGATTTGGCCCATTTACCTTGACAGCATCTATAATCATGCTTTGCACATAGTAGATATTTTAATAAATTTGGTGTGAGATAAGAGGCGAGATAGAAGTTAATTAGACAAAACACAAATAAGTATTACCCTTTTTTTTTGCAATTATTTTCCTAGTGGTGAGAGGATTTGGAATTGGTTGTCTGAAGATGTCATCATTGGCTATAACATCACCAGTTGTATCACCAGAATTTTTTAAATGTAATTCATGGAATTTTAGGAGTCTAACAGCAAATCAAGTGTGGAGGTACCATTTATTTATGTTGACGGAAGGAAAGGAACTTCTCCCCTGTTACATAGCAGTAACCTCTATAGTAGGTAAGAGAGGCAGGGTAGTTGCTTCTTCAAAAGTACAAGTTATTTCCAAGTAGTGAGAAAATCTCATACCTGTAAGAGCATCAAGTCCAGCTATTTTTTTTTTTAAGAAATTGATGAAGTTTGTTTTTTTATATTGCTGCTTTTCCTGAAAGGATTATAGCAATTTTCTTGATACCAAAATTACCCAAAGGAGAGCAATGAGAGAGGATAATACTGCTGCCCCCTGGAGGTATGGAACACATGGTACTGAGAAGTCAAGGTTAAGGTATCTAGCAGGTCTGAGAGCAGAACACATACTTAGTTGTCTTAGTATTTGAATCGCGGCATTTTGTGGGTGTGTGTGTGCATTTCTAGGGTTGCATCTCCTTTGGAAATACACAAATAAATGTAGTTTTGGAGCAACACAAAGCAGCACCAAACCTATTTTCCTAAGTGCTGAGAAATATGATCAGCCAGACAGATTGCCCCACCAAGAGCTCAGAGTGGAAGCTTTAAGGATCACCTTAGCCATCTGGAGCAGACTGTTTACTGGGGCAAAGATGCAGTCATTTCTCTTCTCCTCCCACTGGGAGCCTACACATTTGTAAGTGATGATCCCACCAACAGGACTGTCAGGGCTGCTGGGAATGTTCGAGAACCGGCATAGCTTCTGGATGACTTTCCCGGGCTCTCCGACACCTATTATGGGATCTTGGCATGTGATGTTTTCCCCTGTGTTGGAAACATTGAAATAAAAGGGATAATTGCAAGGAAGAGACAAGATAGTAGAAATACGGTCAGGCCAAGGTAGAATTTTGATGTTTGAATTCATATTTCTCTTTACTTTCAGTCACCTTTTCACAGCCACCCAATTTCTTAATTTTGCCCCTGATTTTCCAAAGCCCCTCTCTGCTTTCCACGTGAACCTGACTTCTCTAATCTGAATTTGCTTTTCCTAATAGAATTTTATACCTTAATCTGGAGATTCTCAACAGTGTCATATTAGAATCAGCGGGGGAGCTTTTGAAAACACCAGTGTCTGGGCTAAGTAAATCAGAATCGTCAGGGCTGGGATTTAGGCATCAGCAGGTTTTAAGCCTCCCTGGTGATTCCGGTGTGCTGTCAAAGTTGAGAATCACTGCCATAATCCAAAGACATAATTGGTAGTAGGACCTCCAGGTACCCATAACCTGAATATTCTAATCTATATGTTTAAGCATTTGTTCCTTCTGGTTTCCCTTAAAGGTGATTCTATTTCATCTCTTCTTATGACCAGGCAAGGATGGGGAAATGACACTTGCTGTGGAATCTCTCACGTCCAGTGGACCCCATGTGGAATCTCTCATGTCCAGTGGACCCTGACACTGATGAGACCCCTCCCTCACCAACTTTTTTTTTTTTTAACATTAATTAAGATCTTAACCACTCTGTACAAATCTTAAATAAGTAATGTTCTACAAGGAAAAAGAAGCAAAACCATATTTGGTATATAGAAAGAGGAGAAGAACAAAGATAAGTGAATAAAATGTGTTGGCTAAGATGAGTGAGGGGGAAAAGAAGAGGTGACCTTTGTTGCACCCTGGAGGGGCTGTACTTGTGCGAGGCAAGGTCAGGGGATAGTGACTCTAAATGGTTTCCTGTTTTGGTGTCCAGGGGATAGTTGCCAACATATGAGAATGACCACAAACCATTCAGTAAACTCAAACAAGCTTGGTGATAATGATCCTTTGTCTATCACAAGTCCTATTACTGGGATGATTTAGGAGCATGAGGAGTTGCTTATGGTAGAAGCCCAGGAACATCATTTATCCCTTGCCTTAACATAAGATCCTCCCTGAAGATGACCTTATATTAGGATGATCTATCCCTCTCTGCTGCTGAGGGGAGCTCCCCAGCATGGGCTAGCATAGCAATGACTCCATAAATCATGACCTTTCACCTCAAAGATACTATGTGATGTCAAGTTGACACAGTGGTGGCAAAGGATGGGAAAGGCAGTCGCCTATTCTTGAGATCAATTGTTTTTATGTAGCCCTGTCTCAGAAATAAAAGAAAAGAAAATAAGCCATGTCCCCTGACCTCAAGGGGACACCTTCCCTTTACCAAAACTTCAGAGGATCTCAACCATGTCCAGATACTGTCCACTGCTATCTGCCTGGTGAACTCCTCAGCCTCCTGACTCAGCTGAAGTCTCATTTCACCTGCAAGGCTTTCCTGATCACTTCTTCCCCACCTGCCTTCAGCAGAGTTAAGCCATCCACAACATTTCTATTTAGCTTTTACCATATTACATGTAAGAATATATATATATAGAGAGAGAGAGACAAAATCTCTCTGTCGCCCAGGCTGGGGTGCAGTGGCACTATCTTGGCTCACTGCAACCTCCACCTCTTGGGTTCAAGCGATTCTCCTGCCTCAGCCTCCCAAGCAGCTGGGACCACAGATGCATGCTACCATGCCTGGCTAATTTTTTGTAGTTTTAGTAGAGACGAGGTTTCACCAAATTAGCCAGGATGGTCTTGATCTCCTGACCTCGTGATCTGCCCACCTTGGCCTCCCAAAGTGCTGAGATTATAGGCGTGAGCCACAGCACCCAGCCAATAACATTTTTTATCACATAGATTTCTCCCCCAGGCTTGAGGTCAGGGGATATGGCTTATTTCTTTTCTTTTAAATACCCCCATGGTGAGCCTAGGGCCTACCACAGTGAGGGTATTTAACATGTTTATTGAATGCGGATGAATGAGGGAGTGAATAAATAAATAAATCCCTGCCCTGACTATAACATCTTAAAGTAATTTAAAACGTTCTTACCAGGAACCAGATTCAGCTTCATAGATGGGCTCCAGACTGAATTATTAGCAGCATTGGTAAAGTGACAATACACATCAACAGTTTTTGAACACCAGGAAACTGAGTTTGCGCTGAAATTGTGTTTGTAGCACACTTGTTTTTTGTTAACTTCTTTTTCTAAAGACAGAATTATTGAAAGAATTAAGTCACAACATGAGTCTCTAATGCACAAATTGTATTAAGATAACCTAATATGAATAAACCTGTCCAAGCTTTCCCCAGGAATGTGCCACATTCATTTTTAACAGGTTTTACCTCTGACTCTTAGAAGTATGTAAGCCCACCTTTGCATGTGTGCTAGCCAAAACTTCTCTACTCTTCATGACTCCAAGTCACACATTTTTGACATTCAGAATGACTTTTCAGCATCCCACAAATCCTTCTTTCTATCTAAATTTCATCATGCTCTGAGTATTTATCCTATTCTGCCTTTACCATATTGGTACATAGTTACCTATTCATGAGTTTGTCTTCTCTACTAGACCACAAGCTCCTGGAGAGAAAATACCTTGTCATATTTATCTTTCCATCTCCTGGTGCTCAGCTCAGTATCTGACACATAGAAAGCACTGAATGTATGCATATTAAACACAGAATGTTGAAATGTTGCATATGTCAAAATCCAGATTGATTATATCCCTCTACCATGCAGCCTTCTTTAAAGACTACAGTGTTTATTGAGTCCCCACTTTTCTGAACTTCCACTGTTTTTTCAGTCTGTATTATTCTGTTTGGATATTTTATATTATATGCATTGCCTTTTATGGCATGGGCCCTTCTAGATATTAAAATATGTGCCCCACTTCTTTTTTCTCCCTTTCATTGACTACTGTGGTGTCTTGCGTTGAGTAACTCCTCCAGAATAGTTATTGAAAGAATGAATGAGCTTGTAAATCCCTCATGAAGTTGTCTGTGTTTTGAGATTTTGGGTTGTGAGCTCATACTGGTTGACCTTAATCTCTGGGAATCCCTGGGGATCTGGATTAAGGTCTCCATCTACCAGAAAGACTTTGATTTTTTTTTTCTTCTTTAGCTAGTTGACATAAGGTGCTACCAATGGCCAACTTTAAACTTAGGTTGGCACTCATGAACCACATAGGAAATATAAATTCAAAGCCCAAACCCGGGTGATGGCAGGACAACTATATCTCTGGGGGGAAACCTTTTGTCCACCCAGAGATGAGGCCAAGGTCTCAACTCTGGCAGATGAATTTTGTTTTCCTAGCTTAGTCTTTTACTGAACATGTCATTTTTGAAGGTCTTGACATTGTGTCAATGGGGTGGGAGTGCCCAGGTGCTGTTTAGGGAGCACAGTCTTTATTTTTATGCCCTCTGGAGCCTTAATACCCAAGGTTCTGGGTTTCTGACATTGGCAAATGCCCACAGGGAAGTTCCAGCATTAAAGCATCATTTCTATTTTATTTTCCTTTACTTTTTTGGCATTGGTTATTTCTCATACTTTCTTACATGCTCAATTATGCCTTTAAAAGGATTTTCATGGCAGTTTTGTGGCATGTAACTTTATAGCATGGAGGAAAAGATTGTCAGAATATCTAGTCTCCCATATTCCTTAGAAGGTATCTCAATACTTTTTTCAACTTCTCCCAATTAAAAAAAAGGGGGGGGGGGGCTCCACCATTGCAAACTCCCAAGATTGTACTACAAACCAATGAACCACCAGCCACATAGCAAAACAGAATATAACAAAGACTCATGGGATTCTACTCTCTTAATTCTCTCTCTGATACAGTCATATGTCTCTTGATCCCTATTTTAAGAGTAAATTTTTAGACTCCACATATGTGAAATAATATACTCTAACAATTCAGCAATCAGCATCTTACCAGCAGGAAGGGACAAGGAACCCATATGGAAAGTAACTTTGTAGTCTCCATCCTCCTCTATGCAGCACTTGATGTGATGGGAACCACTGCATAAAACTGTAGCTTCCAAAGGATCAACCATGATGTTCAACTCTAGAGGCAGCGGGTGAACAACGACGTCTTTGGTTGCAATACTGTATGAATTCTTATATCTAAATACGCAGTGATAGGTTCCTGAGTAGAAGACAGCAAAAATGAGACAGAATGAAATAATCGCCCTTCAGGCGATTTGCTGGGAAGGTTAAGAAGAGCCTTAATTTTCCCTCTCAAGCTTTAGTAAAGGAATACCATACCTTCCTGGACACTGGAGGAAAAAATGCTTGATTGACTCCTCTCCTGGATTCTCCATGCATTTGAAGGACTAACCAATGACCACATAAATATGCACTTACTTTCAAATAAAATTAAGCAGCTTATTCAAGGCCAAACAGCCTGTTAGCGGCAAAATTGGATTTCAAACCAGGTTTTCAATTACTACTCTAAGGCTTTTCTACCAACCGAAGGAATAAATGGGAGTTTTGGTGTGCGCAGGGGTGGGAACTTTTTTGAAAATAATTGTTAACCTGATGGAACACTGTGGTGTTATGACGCCCCTGTCTCCCATCTCTAAGTGAGCAGGCCCCTGCTCATCATGGCCCCAGACAACAAGTCATCATTTGGGCAGCTGCCATGGAGACACACAGCAAGATTACAGGGCACCTACAGTTAAGTAAGATCCTTCAATTTTCTTTACATTGCTTCCCTTTGCCCCAGCTCTGGAAAAGTCAGAAGCAGCAGCTAACCAGAAGGCGAACAAGGAAAGAAAGGAAACTCCTTTTAATTTCTGCTGGGGGAAAGAGGGAATTTAAATTGAATATAAAATGACAGTATAGTAGATTTAGAAGAGAATATGACTTTTCAGTAACTGATTGTGGGATTGTTTAATAGATCAATGTGACTGGAAAAACTAAAATTCTTCGTGGGTTATTGGCTTTTAGTAGGAAAGAGTAATTGGACAGAGCAGGATTGAGTCAGTCTGGAAGAAAAGTACTTCCATTTCCTGACTGTATACTACCAAGTCTAGCCCAAACAATAACTAGCTATTTATACAATGTTGCCTCGGCCTTATATGAAAATATAAAGAAGACACAGGACTCACGGAATCTAGACTGATTAATCTCATAGTTAATGAAAGGCTTCAGAGTGGAGTGGCTAAGGGTTGGCCACTGGAGCTAGTCAATCTGAGTTTGCATCTTGACTCTGCCACTTGCCAGATGTATAACCTTGGGTAATTTACTTAACTTTACTGAATCTCAGTTTCCTCATCTGTAAAATGGGGTTAATAATAACAGCATCCTCTAGGTTTACTGTTCCACATGAATTAACACATTTAAATACTTTGCATAGTGCCTATCACATACTTAAGCGCTCAGTAAATATGAGCTATTATTGTAGCAGTTTTGTCTACCAATTTCTCTTTGCTTTCAAAGATTTGCCTTTCCTCACAAAACAAACAATGGATAGAGGTAAACAGGAAATTAAAATGTGTTCCTTTTTTGGGAACCAGACTTATAAAATCTTTACCTAGCCATCCTAAAGCACAGTTGGGTCAAACACTCACAAGTGTCTAGTGAAAGTACTTTTAAAAACAATCCTCATAACTTCATGGCAAGAGCACAGGGTCTGGAATTAGAGACACTAGTTCCATTCCTGGCTCTACAGCTTAAGTTGTTTGAGCATATTTACTTCATCTGTTAATATGGAAATAATGGCATCTTCCCTCAAAGGACAGTTGCATTAAGTGTGAAGACATATTGAATTTAAAGTGACTGGCATAGGCATGTCTCAGAGCAGACCCCACACAGATGGTAACTATTATTGCGTGTTTCCAAGAGCCCAGGCAGCACAATACGGTTTCCGGCCTTCCACTCACCATTCCACTCCCTGGTCGAGGTCTTGACTGTCAGTACTGATTCTGCTCCGTCAGGATACCTCCTCGTGGTATAAAATCTTTGGTATATTTTAATTCCAGCAGAAGTATTCCAATAAACCTCATCATAGTTACTCACATCACTGATGCATTTTATAGAAAAGTTTTGTCCCTCAGAAACAGAAATTGTGTCCGGGGTCATTGTTAGATTGGCTAAAGAAAGGCAAACAATACAGACAAAAGAACACTGACAACAAGTTCAATGTGTAGTATCTCTGGGGACATTAACACATGAGTGAAACTTCAGAGAGGGACAGAAAAAAAAAAAAAATGAACCATCCTGACTCTACTCTTGTCAAGGTAGGATTGGTACCTTGCTGCTCCTGGGCTTTATTTGTTTCTAGGCTGTTCCTGGTGGTGCTCTGCACTGTACTCATTTCCATAACATGCCTTAGGACCTCGTGCACTTCACTTTTGTGGCTGGAATTATCTCCTGACGATTAGCAGGGTAAAAGGCTGCAAACTTAGGAGTGTCACCTTATCCCAAGCTTCCCTCCAACCTCCTCTGTAACATCTCAAGGGAGAACAAATGGCCGGGTTCCTCTAACAATCTCAACCTCTACTCTTTTAAAATACTTTTTAATAATACCACATTGTGTATTATTTTCTCTCTTTTAATATCTCTCCTCCATAAAAATGTGAGCCCTCAAGGGCAGACCTGTAGCCTCTGTGTCTTTGCATCTCCAGTACTCAACACTGGATCTAGTACACAGTCAGTGCTTAATAAGTGAAAGAGTGGGCCAGGCGCGGTGCCTCACGCCTGTAATCCCAGCACTTTGGGAGGCTGAGGTGGGTGGATCACGAGGTCAGGAGATCGAGATCATCCTGGCTAACACGGTGAAATCCCGTCTCTACTAAAAACAAAAAATTAGCCGGGCGTGTGGGGAACGCCTGTAGTCCCAGCTACTTGGGAGACTGGGGCAGGAGAATGGCGTGAATCCGGGAGGTGGAGCTTGCAGTGAGCGGAGATCGGAGATCGCGCCACTGCACTCCAGCCTGGGGGACAGAGAGAGACTCCGTCTCAAAAAAAAAAAAAAAAAAAAAAAAAAGTGAAAGAGTGAATTCTGGAACTACATTTTAAGTACAAGAATCATAGAGCGCATTGCCCAAATATAAGTTGGTTGAAAAGTAATGGCTAAGAACACAATTACTTTTGCACTAACCTAATAATTACACCTGCACTGTCTCAGGTAAACTGGGATGTATGGGTACGTTAATTATAACTATAACTACAGTAATATAAGTATTTATATGCAATTAATTTCACTATATATATACTCCTCTAAGAAGCTTCTCACAGGTTCATGGAAAATTACTAATCAAAAATATTAATAAGACTATTACAAACATAAAACCTTATATGAGCCTCCCACTATTTTAGTCTAACTGTCCACTTCTCTTTGAGTATATCTTTATATGGCTGATATTTCAAAACACCATTCACTTCAGTCTTCTGTAAGTCAAAAGCTTCATTTTGTGAGCCCACTGATGCTGGCCTACTTTCCCAGTCAGTGTGAAATCTTATTATTAATAATATTATTATTATTTTCTTTTTTGAGACAGGGTCTCATTCTGTCACCCAGGTTGGCACAATCATGACTCACTGAAGCCTCAACCTTCTGGGCTTAATTGATCCTCCTGCTTCAGCCTTCCAAGAAGCTGGGACTACAGGCACACACCACCATGCCTGGCTAATTTTATTTTTATTTTTTATTGGTAGAGACAGGGCTTTGCCATGTTGCTAGGGCTAATCTCAAACTCCTAGGCTTAAGCCATCTGCTCACCTTGGCCTCTCAAAGTGCTGGGATTACAGGCATGAGCCACCATGACTGGTCTAAAAATCTTATTCTTAATCATAATCCAATGACATCAGGGCTTTTCACAGTTACCATTAGAAGCTGGGATTCAAATGTTCAGACACAGCTCAAAGCCACTCAAAGAAGGTGTAATGTGTCCCTGCATTGTCTTTCCCAGCCATAGGCATCTTGAGATGGCTCTCTAAGGCTTAACTATTTCTGTGAGTAAAAAGAAGGCGGCTCATGGAACCATGAATTTGGTCCTCTTGACTCTTTGATGAGATTCCAAACGACCAGACCAGTGATTTTCGGTAAAGGCTTAACACGTACCTAAGACAGGTCCCAGTTTTGCGGATAGAGGTAAAGTTATGTTAAATAATTTGGAGAAAGATTAGTTTTATCTGAAAGCATTATTTCCCTAGAAGAGCTCATGAGTATTTTGAGCAATTTGCAGTTTTCTATAGTGAGAACAGTTTTGATTATTTGAACACAACACAACTCTTTGTGTTAAAACTAGGAATGCAAAACTGTTTTACCTGTAGATATATGATTATTATATAGCTATATATTATATATTATAGATATATATTAGATAGATAGATAGATTATGCCCACATAAACATAATCTTGATCTTTGTAAAAATGCTAAGTCACAATAGCAGAAAACAGTTAAGTATTGCTTATATCAGTCCTTTCTCTAAACTTGTTCAAAAAGGGCCTAATGATTAATCTAAATTGTTGATTTTTGTAAGACAGGTGGAAAAACAAGTTTGAATGTCCTCTTTTTACACGTGGGGTGAAATCATAATGCTTTATGATATAAGGAGAAATGACAATTTTAAGAAGCCTACCTAAACAATTAATTTAGAGACTAACAAATCATTCATTCCAACCGCAAAATAACCAGAAAGAATCAGATTACTATCCCAGCACTTTGGGAGGCCAAGGAGGGTGGATCACGAGGTCAGGAGATCCAGACCATCCTGGCTAACATGGTGAAACCCCATCTATACTAAAAATACAAAAAAAAAAAAAAAAAAAAAAAAATACTAAAAATACAAAAAAAAAAAAAAAAAAAAAAAATTAGCCGGGAGTGGTGGCGGGCGCCTGTAGTCCCAGCTACTCAGGAGTCTGAGGCAGGAGAATGGCGTGATCTCAGGAGGCGGAGCTTGCAGTGAGCCGAGATCGCGCCACTGCACTCCAGCCTGGGCAACAGAGCGAGACTCTGTCTCAAAAAAAAAAAAAAAAAAAAAAAAAAAAAAAAAAAAAAAGAATCAGATTACTAAGGCTTTCTGCAGCATTGTCTCTGGAACAGGTGAAATGGGAGAGGAGGAATGAGGGAGGGTGTTGAGGGGTAGCGGGGGAGTGAGCCAGGATGTTGGAATTCAAGAATGGGAGAACCAGGTAATGAGGGAAAAGGGGAAAATTAGAGACATTATCCTCATTACACATTCAATGATAATAGGGATAACCTGAGTGGCAAACCCCACTTCCCACTCCACCTCCTGCCTTACTCAGAGAATGCCCCGGGGTTCCTTCCTGGGAACCACTGTGTCCTACCACAACATCCCCAATTGTTAAAACACTCCCTCTGAATTTAAATGGCAGAGGGGGAAATCCTTTTCTATCTCCCATTGTGTGATTTGCCCTAACCACACTCCCTCTCTGTCCATTATTTTACTCATAGGCATTTCCATAGCTCATAGTTCATTGGCAGCACTTATTTAAGGTGGGACTTATTCGTGGCTAAAAATTCTAGGGAGAGTCCTTACCCACAGAGTTGAATGTCACTTTTATGTTTGCACTGCCTCTGGCTCCGTAGGCACTGATGAACTCGCAAGTGTAGACGACTGTTGTTCCAGAAGACCCGCTTGGGCACTGGGTTCCATCAGCCTTGAGGGTGTATCTGCTGCAGCTAGAATCTATGTCTGTCTCAGGGGTTCCTGTAATGAGAAGCAAATTGTTGCCATCCCAGCTGGCTAACTCCTTTATTTAGTAGCAAAGAGGTCAAATCTTTTTTTTCACAAAAGGAGTTACTATTTAAACAGATTTCTTCTCTGAATGGAGAGGAGGGGTTTATGGTGATTAGGTCTGCAGACTCTGTATCCAGGTTGCCTGGCTTCAGATCCCAAACTCCATCACTTACTAGCAAGATATTGTTGAGACAGTCACTTAACCACCTTGTGCTTCAGTTCTCCAGATATAAAATGAGGATTAATAATAGCAGTTACTTCCCAGGACCACTGTAAGGTTAAATGAGATAATATACCTAAACTCTTAGAAAAGTACCTGACTGAGTCCTGCTCTAACAAAGACCATGAGCGATGGTTTTTAGAATGTGAACAACGAAAAAGAGAAGCAAGCTGTTTGGGTGTGATTTAACTGGAAGAACACATGACAGATTATTTAGAGTACTATGATCATTAAAAAGAGGAAGAAGCAATACTGGGGCACCTGATATTCATCTTATTTGAGCTTTTTTCACAGCATGTTCCCTGTTTAAATCTCTATATTTTAGTGAAATCTTCAACTTCAACTTCATGCATTCTCAGTTACCAGCAGTTTCCCCTTCAAAATAGCTCCCTTTCCATACCATCCTTTCCTTTCCCAGAAATACCATCCCCTCCATGCCATCTTTCCTCTTGCCTCAGGTTCTACAACACCCTGTGGCTGATTTTTCCTACTCTAGTCCCTTTACTCTCCCTCCTCCCACCTTGCCTGCAGTCATGCACTCCTAAGGCAATCTTCAAACACTATCAATCTTCTGAAAATGAAGGAAAAAGAATAAGCCTTTTGATTAGTTCCAACGTAAATGTGTCTTTTTCAGCCCTGGCTGATCAATGATATTTGACATATTTTGATCAACATGTAACTAGCTTTTCTCCCTAGTCCCCAGAAAGGTTGTTTGAAACACCAAACTGATTTCCCTCTTTATCTATCTTGACTAAAGTACCTCCTAGCTCACAGACACGAGTGTCTGTGCCCATCTCTAAGGCTCATCCCTCCACTTATCTTTTGAAAATCCACTTCTTCCAATTCTTCCAGGACATCCCTTCATCCTTTGCCCTTCCTCACCCTGTGTCTTTAATCTTTCCTCCCAGATTTCCTCCACTTCAACCCCCAGATACATGCAAGTCTCCCTTCCTGAAATGTTCTTTCCCCAGTCTGAATGCTCCCTAGCCACCACTGCATTTCTTCCTCTCTTCATACCATGATGCTTCTGCATTTTCCACCTCCAATTTTTCACTCCCATTTCTCATCAAGTCTTTGCAATTGGCCTTCTTCACCCTCTCCTCTATCAAAAGTGTTCCTTTAAGGCCAACAGTGGCCTCCCCTCATGCTACTTTGACTGCAGCATCCCATTCTGCTGACCCCTTCTCTCTGATTTGATGTGCTTGAGTCCTAGATGTCTCCTGCCCCTCTTTTCTCCTCATCCCTCCTTCTGGGTCTCCCTCTCAGGCTCTTTTCCTTCATCCCCTTCTTAAGGTTGCCCCTTTCCTCATCTTTTTCTCTACTGTCTCTCCAGGCAATCTCATCTACACCTATTGCTTCTAGAATAGACCAAATTTGGATGACTCCCACTCTATTTCTAAGAGCAGCACTCCTGTTAGAAACTTTAGAAGCAAATTCACAAGTGTTGCTCTGACATCTTAGGTACCTTCAACTCATTTGGTCCATTTAAGAACTCATCTTTTTTCTCCCCAGATAAAACCTGTACATCTTCCAACGTGTCCTTTCTTTGCTCTTGGCATTTCCCCAAATAAAAATCTTAAATTACTTGCGTGCACTCACCTTTTACCCCTACTCAATTGTAAGAAACTTTTAGATTACTCTTCTGAAATATCTCACTATTGTCTTACCCACTCCTACCCACGGTAACTTGCTCAGGCCCCATTATCTGTTGTCTTCCCATTGCACATGATTGTAGCTGGGTCTCTATTTTCAGTTATTTGCCCCTGCAATCTATTGGCTATAAGACCTTAAAACTTATTTTTCCTAAGTTCAGCTCTCACCATCTGATGTCCTCTACTTTTGAAACCTTACCATTGCCTACAGAATACAGTAAAATCCCTCTTCACCTGGTATATTCAATTAGTCACAGTGTGATTCCAATCTGCTTCTCTTCTCTTTATCTTCTTCTATAGCTCTCTCTGAAAAATTAGATCATCTCCTGGGCCTTGAACATGCCCTGTAGCTTTGCGCCTCTATGCCTGTGTTCACACCTGAAATATTCTCCTTCCCTCTTCCTCCTGCTGACTCTTACCAATCCTTAAAGACCCATCTATCTCACCAAACTAATGTACAGGACAATGATCTGTGCAAGAAGGAGTGCATAAAGAGATGTACAGAAATAATGATAGTGTGCAGTGGGTAGGTTCCATGAGAGAGAAGTCAACATATTATGTGGATTAAAGGAGGGACGTTTTAGTTGAGAGATTAGGGAAGATTTCAGAGAAGAGGAAGATTTGCTCTAGGCCTTAACAGACATTTAGGATTTTAATAGATAGAAATGGGGGCTGTAGTTCTGGTATGTGGTTGTATGTGGGTGGTGTGTGAGTAAATCCGTACTCCTTGGAAAACTTGGCATTCCATCAAGCTGCTTCAGGGGCTGGGACTGTGTTGGGGGGTGGAAAGATAATAAACTGTTTCTAACCAGAGCAGCTCCACTTTGGTCTGCTTTACACATTAGATGTGCTGTCAATGACGGGCAATTTTGCCTCCCAGCAGGACATTCGGCAAGGTTTGGAGACATTTTTGGTTGTTGCAACTGAAGATGTTACTGGCATCTTGTAGGTACAGGCTGAGAATACTGCTAAATATCCTACCATGCACAGAACAGTTCCACCAGCAAAGAATTATCTGACCCAAAATGTCAATAGTGCTGAGTTGAGAAGACTTGCATTAGACAGCTATGCAAGATTCTGCTTGAAAAATGGATTCTATTGGTAACTCAGAAAACCACTGCTATAAGCAAAAACACAGAAGCAGCAGCATGCAGGTCTTGTTCAGAGAACAGTAACTACTTCTGTTAGACTGAGATTCAGAGAAAGAGTGGAGAAAGGCTCCAAAGAGATGGTAAACTCAGAAAACACAAGCAGGACTTCCAAATTGGCATCATTCACATCGTGTTTCCTACAACACCCTGGGGCTCTGCAACCAGGGGCCCTGCATGGGAGGTACCGAATACAGCCAATAAGTTGGCACTTTGCTTTCTGGAGAAGAGAAGGTATGCAATTACAATTTTGTTGTTCAAAGTTAGATGACATCCCAGACCTTCCTCTATAACATGGTGGTGATGGTACCTACTTTGCAAGACTTTGGGTGGGGAGTGGAGAAAAACCAAGATGATAAATGTAAACATTGAAAACAGAGTTGAGGCCAGGTGTGGTGGCTCACACCTGTAATCCCAGCACTTTAGGAGGCCAAGATGGGCGGAGGTCAGGGGTTCGAGACCAGCTGGGCCAACATGGTGAAACCCCATCTCTACTAAAAATATAAAAATTAGCCAGGTATGGTGGCAGGCACCTATAATCCCAGCTACTCAGGAGGCTGAGGCAGGAGAATCTCCTGAACTCCGGGAGTGGAGGTTGCAGTGAGTCAAGATCGTGCTACTGCACTCCAGTCTGGATGACAAAAGCAAGACTGTCTCAAAAAACAAACAAAAATCAAAACAAAACAAAACAAAACAAAAACGGAGTTTAATACATTGAATCTGCCACAATAACTATTTTGTGATCATGGTGATACCCTTAAAGAATACTCCTTCGCTTTTTTCCCATGTGGGAGGAAATCTTCACTGAATTTTAGTCTCTTAAAGTTAGAAATTCTGCCATTGTTGATTATTTCCTTTCTGTCTCATCCTTTTCCAGAGTGCTTTGAATATGCAACGATTTCTGAGAGTAGGTCATTCATTCAGTTCCAAATGCTTTGGGTAAATTTTGCTTGATTGTGTTCTACAGACCTGGAAAAATGGTTGTTAGTAGAACTTGTGGAATTTGGAGAAGATAGTTGCAGAGAGGAAGCAGCAAGGGCAGGAGAAAGAAGGGCAGGGTGCCAGGGCAGAGGCTAAATTCATCAGAGAAGCCAGGTCCCCAGGCGGCCAGCCCTGAGGCAGGAAATCCATTGTTCTGCAGTCATTCATCCCGCTCTAAGCATCTGCACCACAGACTTCCTGGTTCCTTTGCCAGAAGGCCAGGTTTTTCACCTTTTGGGGTTGAAAGCTTCTGAGCCAGTATTACAGGAATTGTGCAAGGTCTTTCTTCCATCTGGCAGTTCCTTCAGGATACCTACACCTCCTCTTCCTTAGAAATCAGGGAAGTGACTGCATGTATCATGGGTTAATATTTTTAACAGTTACCACGTGCCTTTCTTCTGAGTACTTTAAAGTCTAATACAAATGCTTGCAGGTGAAACTCCTTTGGAAATTACATGTGCTTAGGAAAATTTGCCTGTAAATTGATAGTTTTGTTGTTGTTGTTGTTATTGTTGCTGCTGTTGTTTGAGACAGTCTCACTCTGTCACCCAGGCTGTAGTGCAATGGCATGATCTCCACTCACTGCAACGTCGGCTTCTCGGGTTCAAGTGATTCTCCTGCCTCAGCCTCCCAAGTAGCTGGGACTACAGGTGCACACCACCACACCTAGCTAATTTTTTGTATTTTTAGTAGAGATGGGGTTTCACCGTGTTAGCCAGGCTCGTCTCGAATGCTCAACCTCATTTGATCCATCTGCTTTGGCCTCTGAAAGTGCTGGGATTACAGGCATGAGCCACCACCCCTGTTTTGATAATTTTTAAAAAATAATTTAATCTATTTAAATAGCTAAGGCTTTGTAAAATGAAGGTTCCCCACACTAATGTATTTCATGGGTAAAGCTACATTTTACATTAAAGACTTTTTCTTTACAGATAAGCACATTATACTGTTGCTTCTTAAGAGAAGAGTTGGATCTTGCTCTATGCAGTTTCTAGGCAGAACACTGTGCAAACTCTGCCTGACTAGCTCATTCCAGTGCTGGCCCACCAGGCATGCATAATATAGTTTGGCCAAGATGACACTGGTTTTGTGAAACAAGACCTTTGGTGAGTCCTAATTCTTTCTTTCTTCTTTTTTTTTTCATATTTTGACAACCTTGGATAAGTCATATAATCTGAACCTCAATTTCCTTATTTGAAAATCGGAAGTAAAATGCTTCAAATTTGTGGTCAAGCATTTAAAAAGCAGTAACATATTTTTTAAAGGGTTAATCACAAACTGTTATACAAAACAGAGTGAGTATTGCTGTTTTAATTTATTACTATTATTATTATTCATCAATATAAACTGGAGGGTAGGGAACTTTAGGTAAGATTTCAGATTGAAAACAAAAGCTAATGGGATCAGAAATCGTATGAAATGACTGAGAGACAAACAGATCTGCAGAGAGAAAGGGATAAAGCTGGAGGCACAGAAACAGAAAATATTGAGGCATGCATAGATACAAAGGCAGAGAAGTGAGAAGGACCAGACACCAGGAGAAGACACACAGAAAGGAGAAGCTCCAAGTCAGACCTCAATGACAAGTGACCTCATCCTTAGCTCTTCACTGAAGATGAAAGGAAAGTGAGCATAAGCTTTTCTTGTCTTTTTTTTTTTTTTTAAGATCCAAAATGCCAGGATCCTTCTGTCTTGGGTCTTCTGCTGCTGGGATCTCATCTGCAACCAAAGCATGACACTTGCGTGCATATGTTTTTGGAGTCTTGCTCTAGAGTGGCTAAGCTGGAGCTGGCATCAAACTTAATGCCTTTTCACAGTCTGAAATCCAGAAAATAGCAACCATCTGACATTTCACCTTCCACACACCACATCTCCCATTTCTACTTGGCCAAGAGGCAAAAACCTATTTACAAAAGGGCTTATCTAACATTCTCACCTGGAATACTTATTTTTCCTTCCTGCTTCCATTCTACTTTGCTCCAATTAACATTACTCTGACTGCAGCAGTTCAAAGATACAGGATTGTTGTCACACATCACCTTCATTTCTTCATTTGCCAAAATTTGGATGGGCATAACATCTATTTTCTTCTTGCCCTCATATTCAAAAATGTCTAGTATCAGTTTGCAAACATATTCACCTGCATAAAATACATGAAATCGTGCATTATTACAACATATGTATATTTTCTTAGAGGAATGGTACCCTAATCTCATGGATCATGACAGTAATGACAGTCCTTGATGAAGCATCATTTTCAAAAGCATCTGAGACTTAGTCTAAAAATGCCTAAATAACCATTCAGGAATTCAGGAAGTGCAGATATTTCTGATGCCACAAAGTGGAGTACAGAGATGTTCTAAGGAAATAGTAGAAATCTTAGGGACTTTGCTAATAAGGAAAAAAGTTTAACAATAGAAGTAGGAAAGAAAAATTGAAAAGCCTTGGAGAATTAGAAGATAGATAATATTGCCATAGTATTTAACCATGTGGTAAATCAAAATCAACAACTACGTGATAGGAGCCACATGTCTATAGCCCACCTCATCATGTAGAGAAAAGGAGATGGCCCCATTGGCATCTGAGTTACAATGCAGTTATTACATTCCAGAATATGTCAGGTACACCACTAGTCTTAGGGAAGAATTAAGCCTTATGCTTGCTTTTGTAGTTGCTTGGGGTGGGCAAGAGGACAGGAGAAAGCTGAAGGGAGGGATAATAGTGGAGAACCAGAAAATTTGGTGAGGGCAGGGAGAATGATGGATATGTTCACTCTTCTGACTGTAGTAATGATTTCACAGCTGTACATGGGTCAAGACTTTTTAAATATGTACAGTTTATTATATATCAATTCCTTCCTCAACAAAGCTATTTTAAATTTTTTTTAAAAATCAATGGAAAATTAAATTAATAATAAAGTAATATTATATACTAAAACAAAATAATGAAAATAATTATATACTAAAATAAAACAAATAATGAAAATAATTAACTTTAAAATTAATTAACAATTAATACCATGGTGATATGGTTTGGCTCTGTGTCCCTTCCCAAATCTCATGTCGAATTGTAATCCCCACGTGTTCAGGGAGGGTCCTGGTGGTAGGTGATTCTCTCATGGGGGCAGTTCCCCCATGCTGTTCTCATGATAGGGAGTGAGTTCTCATGAGATCTGATGGTTTAAAATCAGATGTTTGACAATTCCCTAGACCCTCTCTCCCTCTCCTGCTGCCATGTAAGATGTGCCTTGCTTCCCCTTTGCCTTCTGCCATGATTGTAAGTTTCCTAAGGCCTCCCCAACCATGCAGAACTGTGAGTCAATTAAACCTTTTTTCTTCATAAATTACTCAATCTCAGGTAGTTCTTTATAGCAGTATAAAGATGGACTAATACACATGGGATTAATTTTCAGTTTTGAAAGGTTGAACCAGGAGACTTCTTTGGGAAGAGAAAAACACTATCTACACGTCTACATAAAACACTATTACATATTTGCTTCTTTACAAGCTCTTCATTCCATTCCTCACACAAGTTATTGAATGGAGACCTACCTGCATCACCTGGAGTGATGTTGCGGATGGTGAGCTTGGACACCGAAGTCATGTTGTTGAACACAGCAGTGTAAATTGAGAATTTACTGCTGTTCTGGATTTCCAACTGCTGTTCTTCATAGCGCCAAGACACATTGGAGGACAAAAGTTCGTTTTCACACACCAGACTGACTGTGTCCCCTTCAAAGATGATTTCTGGTGTGACAGAGAACTTAGTTTCATCTGGAAACCCAAAGAAAAGGTAATAAGATCCCAAAGCGAATAAATGTCATTGATGCTACTCACCAGACACAACCACCACAAAGCTCTCGGAGGTCTTGACAGCATCTGTGGTGCTGAACTGGCTGAGGCAATGTGTCTCCTCACTCCATCCCCATGCAGCTGGTGTCTGAGCCCTGAGGAAGTGTGTCCTGTCACATACTAGGTACAGGGTTTCCCGATTGGGGTCTTTGCCCTGTGGCTCCTTAATGGCAGTAATGGAAATTTTAAAGCTATTTTCAATATTTCAAAAAGTGTGGTAGAAAATTGCACATTTACTTATGAAAAAAAAACACTAACTTCAATATCAAGTTTCTGTGCTACAGACTGGAATCATATCAACTACTTCTTATCAATAACTGATATCTCATGCTTACTGAAAGCTCTGACCTAAGTCTTGAATGATTTAGAAATGTAAAAACTAATTAATAATTATAATAAAGTCTGCTTGAGAAATAAGAATTTCCTAATACTCATGGACCTCTGTAGGAATAGGAGCTTCATAGATAGTAAGTTTGGATTTGAATCCTGGTTCTGTCCCAGCTGTAACTGTGTGGCCCTGAGGAACTTGCTTAGACTGGCTGAGCCTTAGTTCCCCTGTCTGGAAAACAGGAGCAGTGAGAGTTACATTTGGGAGGCAACTTGGAGAAACTGTAGCTATTATTATTGTTTTGGCAGTAAAAATCCATGGGATCACTGCCTTATCATTTCACAAATAAAAATAAAAACACAGCCAGGCATGGTGACACATGCCTGTAATCCCAACACTTTGGAAGGCTAAGGTGGGAGGATTGCTTGGGGCCAGGAGTATGAGACCAGCCTGGGCAACGTAGTGAGACCCCATCTCTAAAAAAAATAAATAAATAAAAAGTAAAAAATGTTAGCTGAGTATGGAGGTGTGCACCTGTGGTTCCAGCTACCCCAGAGGCTGAAGCAGGAGGATCACTTGAGCAAGGAAAGTAGAGGCTGCAGAGAGCCATGATTATACTACTGCACTCCAGCCTGGATGACAGAGGGCTACACTCTGAGGCCTACTGCTCTAAAATGATGGCCCTGTATTTCTTATTGGTGCATTTTATGAATATTTAAACCTCCACTGCAATATTAGTTTTACTTTTTAACTTAGTTTTGAATCTGTTAATTTAGAAAATACACAAATCCAGATGGCTCTGTGACCCCCTGTGCCCCTCTTCCACACACCCCAGGTACAGTGGCATTAGTCAGATTGGGAGGCGCTGGCATAAGAGGAGGAGGTGGTACAGAACCCCCTGTGCCAGGAACTGGAGTGTCCAGCTTCCCAGAGGACATTGTAACATAAGCTAATTTCCTAGGTTTACGCATAACCGTAAATAACATGACCATATCTAAACAATTTCACTTACTGCTAGTAAGTGCTTGAAAGGAGTTGTAGTCCATTTTGTAGGTCTGATTGAGGTTCTGTACAACTTGTTCATTGGCTTTATGTATTAACTCAAGTGATGGTGCTGTAGTCTTGACTTCATATGTCACAACCACACTTCCAGACCTGGACGGAGAACACTCAGTTCAGTAAAACAATAACTGACCTGGAAGAGTCTAGATATTTATGGCTTATTTGCTTAGGAAACAAAATAGCACAAACTGCCTGTTGCAGCATGAAAATCTATGGTGGAGGCGGAGCAAGATGGCCGAATAGGAACAGCTCCAGTCTCCAACTCCCAGCGCGAGCGACACAGAAGACCGGTGATTTCTGCATTTTCAACTGAGGTACTGGGTTCATCTCACTAGGGAGTGCCGGACAATCGGTGCTGGTCAGCTGCTGCAGCCCGACCAGCGAGAGCTGAAGCAGGGCGAGGCATCGCCTCACCTGGGAAGCGCAAGGGGGAAGGGAATCCCTTTTCCTAGCCAGGGGAACTGAGACACACAACACCTGGAAAATCGGGTAACTCCCACCCCAATACTGCGCAAGCGGGCACACCAGGAGATTATATCCCACACCTGGCCGGGAGGGTCCCACGCCCATAGAGCCTCCCTCATTGCTAGCACAGCAGTCTGCGATCTAACCACAAGGCAGCAGCAAGGCTGGGGGAGGGGCGCCCGCCATTGCTGAGGCTTAAGTAGGTAAACAAAGCCGCTGGGAAGCTCGAACTGGGTGGAGCTCACAGCAGCTCAAGGAAACCTGCCTGTCTCTGTAGACTCTACCTCTGGGGACAGGGCACAGATAAACAAAAGCAGCAGAAACCTCTGCAGACGCAAACGACTCTGTCTGACAGCTTTGAAGAGAGCAGTGGATCTCCCAACACGGAGGTTGAGATCTGAGAAGGGACAGACTGCCTGCTCAAGTGGGTCCCTGACCCCTGAGTAGCCTAACTGGGAGACATCCCCCACTAGGGGCAATCTGACACCCCACACCTCACAGGGTGGAGTACACCCCTGAGAGGAAGCTTCCAAAGCAAGAATCAGACAGGTACACTCGCTGTTCAGAAATATTCTATCTTCTGCAGCCTCTGCTGCTGATACCCAGGCAAACAGGGTCTGGAGTGGACCTCAAGCAATCTCCAACAGACCTACAGCTGAGGGTCCTGACTGTTAGAAGGAAAACTATCAAACAGGAAGGACACCTACACCAAAACTCCATCAGTACGTCACCATCATCAAAGACCAGAGGCAGATAAAACCACAAAGATGGGGAAAAAGCAGGGCAGAAAAGCTGGAAATTCAAAAAATAAGAGCGCATCGCCCCTGGCAAAGGAGTGCAGCTCATCGCCAGCAACAGATCAAAGCTGGACAGAGAATGACTTTGACGAGATGAGAGAAGAAGGCTTCAGTCCATCAAACTTCTCAGAGCTAAAGGAGGAATTACGTACCCAGCGCAAAGAAACTAAAAATCTTGAAAAAAAAGTGGAAGAATTGATGGCTAGAGTAATTAATGCAGAGAAGGTCATAAACGAAACGAAAGAGATGAAAACCATGACACGAGAAATACGTGACAAATGCACAAGCTTCAGTAACCAACTCGATCAACTGGAAGAAAGAGTATCAGCGATTGAGGATCAAATGAATGAAATGAAGTGAGAAGAGAAACCAAAAGAAAAAAGAAGAAAAAGAAATGAACAAAGCCTGCAAGAAGTATGGGATTATGTAAAAAGACCAAATCTACGTCTGATTGGGGTGCCTGAAAGTGAGGGGGAAAATGGAACCAAGTTGGAAAACACACTTCAGGATATCATCCAGGAGAACTTCCCCAACCTAGTAGGGCAGGCCAACATTCAAATCCAGGAAATACAGAGAACGCCACAAAGATACTCCTCGAGAAGAGCAACTCCAAGACACATAATTGCCAGATTCACCAAAGTTGAAATGAAGGAAAAAATCTTAAGGGCAGCCAGAGAGAAAGGTCGGGTTACCCACAAAGGGAAGCCCATCAGACTAACAGCAGATCTCTCGGCAGAAACTCTCCAAGCCAGAAGAGAGTGGGGGCCAATATTCAACATTCTTAAAGAAAAGAATTTTAAACCCAGAATTTCATATCCAGCCAAACTAAGTTTCATAAGTGAAGGAGAAATAAAATCCTTTACAGAGAAGCAAATGCTTAGAGATTTTGTCACCACTAGGCCTGCCTTACAAGAGACCCTGAAGGAAGCACTAAACATGGAAAGGAACAACCGGTACCAGCCATTGCAAAACCATGCCAAAATGTAAAGACCATCGAGGCTAGGAAGAAACTGCATCAACTAACGAGCAAAATAACCAGTTAATATCATAATGGCAGGATCAAGTTCACACAAAACAATATTAACCTTAAATGTAAATGGACTAAATGGTCCAATTAAAAGACACAGACTGGCAAACTGGATAAAGAGTCAAGACCCATCAGTCTGCTGTATTCAAGAGACCCATCTCACATGCAGAGACATACATAGGCTCAAAATAAAGGGATGGAGGAAGATTTACCAAGCAAATGGAGAACAAAAAAAAGTGGGGGTTGCAATACTAGTCTCTGATAAAACAGACTTTAAACCATCAAAGATCAAAAGAGACAAAGAAGGCCATTACATAATGGTAAAGGGATCAATTCAACAGGAAGAGCTAACTATCCTAAATATATATGCACCCAATACAGGAGCACCCAGATTCATAAAGCAAGTCCTTAGAGACTTACAAAGAGACTTAGACTCCCATACAATAATAATGGGAGACTTCAACACTCCACTGTCAACATTAGACAGATCAACGAGACAGAAAGTTAACAAGGATATCCAGGAATTGAACTCATCTCTGCAGCAAGCAGACCTAATAGACATCTATAGAACTCTCCACCCCAAATCAACAGAATATACATTCTTCTCAGCACCACATCACACTTATTCCAAAATTGACCACATAATTGGAAGTAAAGCACTCCTCAGCAAATGTACAAGAACAGAAATTATAACAAACTGTCTCTCAGACCACAGTGCAATCAAACTAGAACTCAGAACTAAGAAACTCAATCAAAACTGCTCAACTACATGGAAACTGAACAACCTGCTCCTGAATGACTACTGGGTACATAACGAAATGAAGGCAGAAATAAAGATGTTCTTTGAAACCAATGAGAACAAAGATACAACATACCAGAATCTCTGGGACACATTTAAAGCAGTGTGTAGAGGGAAATTTATAGCACTAAATGCCCACAAGAGAAAGCAGGAAAGATCTAAAATTGACACTCTAACATCACAATTAAAAGAACTAGAGAAGCAAGAGCAAACACATTCGAAAGCTAGTAGAAGGCAAGAAATAACTAATATCAGAGCAGAACTGAAGGAGATAGAGACACAAAAAACCTTCCAAAAAATCAATGAATCCAGGAGTTGGTTTTTTGAAAAGATCAACAAAATTGACAGACCGCTAGCAAGACTAATAAAGAAGAAAAGAGAGAAGAATCAAATAGAAACAATAAAAAATGATAAAGGGGATATCACCACTGACCCCACAGAAATACAAACTACCATCAGAGAATACTATAAACACCTCTACACAAATAAACTAGAAAATCTAGAAGAAATGGATAATTTCCTGGACACTTACACTCTTCCAAGACTAAACCAGGAAGAAGTTGAATCCCTGAATAGACCAATAGCAGGCTCTGAAATTGAGGCAATAATTAATAGCCTACCAACCAAAAAAAGTCCAGGACCAGATGGATTCACAGCTGAATTCTACCAGAGGTACAAGGAGGAGCTGGTACCATTCCTTCTATAACTATTCCAATCAATACAAAAAGAGGGAATCCTCCCTAACTCATTTTATGAGGCCAACATCATCCTGATACCAAAGCCTGGCAGAGACACAACAAAAAAAGAGAATTTTAGACCAATATCCCTGATGAACATCAATGCAAAAATCCTCAATAAAATACTGGCAAACCGGATTCAGCAGCACATCAAAAAGCTTATCCACCATGATCAAGTGGGCTTCATCCCTGGGATGCAAGGCTGGTTCAACATTCGCAAATCAATAAACATAATCCAGCATATAAACAGAACCAAAGACAAGAACCACATCATTATCTCAATAGATGCAGAAAAGGCTTTTGACAAAATTCAACAGCCCTTCATGCTAAAAACGCTCAATAAATTCGGTATTGATGGAACGTACCTCAAAATAATGAGCTATTTATGACAAACCCACAGCCAATATCATACTGAATGGGCAAAAACTGGAAAAATTCCCTTTGAAAACTGGCACAAGACAGGGATGCCCTCTCTCACCACTCCTATTCAACATAGTGTTGGAAGTTCTGGCTAGGGCAATCAGGCAAGAGAAAGAAATCAAGGGGATTCAGTTAGGAAAAGAAGAAGTCAAATTGTCCCTGTTTGCAGATGACATGATTGTATATTTAGAAAACCCCATTGTCTCAGCCCAAAATCTCCTTAAGCTCATAAGCAACTTCAGCAAAGTCTCAGGATACAAAATTAATGTGCAAAAATCACAAGCATTCTTATACACCAGTAACAGACAAACAGAGAGCCCAATCATGAATGAACTTCCATTCACAATTGCTTCAAAGAGAATAAAATACCTAGGAATTCAACTTACAAGGGATGTAAAGGACCTCTTCAAGGAGAACTACAAACCACTGCTCAGTGAAATCAAAGAGGACACAAACAAATGGAAGAACATACCATGCTCATGGATAGGGAGAATCAATATTGTGAAAATGGCCATACTGCCCAAGGTTATTTATAGATTCAATGCCATCCCCATCAAGCTACCAATGAGTTTCTTCACAGAATTGGAAAAAACTGCTTTAAAGTTCATATGGAACCAAAAATGAGCCCGCATCTCCAAGACAATCCTAAGTCAAAAGAACAAAGCTGGAGGCATCACGCTACCTGACTTCAAACTATATACAAGGCTACAGTAACCAAAACAGCATGGTACTGGTACCAAAACAGAGATATAGACCAATGGAACAGAATAGAGTCCTCAGAAATAATACCACACATCTACAGCCACCTGAGAGAAACAAGAAATGGGGAAAGAATTCCCTATTTAATAAATGGTGCTGGGAAAATTGGCTAGCCATAAGTAGAAAGCTGAAACTGGATCCTTTCCTTACTCCTTATATGAAAATTAATTCAAGATGGATTAGAGACTTAAATGTTAGACCTAATACCATAAAAATCCTAGAGGAAAACCTAGGTAGTACCATTCAGGACATAGGCATGGGCAAAGACTTCATGTCTAAAACACCAAAAGCAACGGCAGCAAAAGCCAAAATTGACAAATGGGATCTAATTAAACTAAAGAGCTTCTGCACAGCAAAAGAAACTACCATCAGAGTGAACAGGCAACCTACAGAATGGGAGAAAATTTTTGCCATCTACTCATCTGACAAAGGGCTAATATCCAGAACCTACAAAGAACTCAAACAAATTTACAAGAAAAAAACAAACAACCCCATCCAAAAGTGGGCAAAGGATATGAACAGACATTTCTCAAAAGAAGACATTCATACAGCCAACAGACACATGAAAAAATGCTCATCATCACTGGCCATCAGAGAAATGCAAATCAAAACCACAATGAGATACCATCTCACACCAGTTAGAATGACGATCATTAAAAAGTCAGGAAACAACAGGTGCTGGAGAGGATGTGGAGAAATAGGAACTCTTTTACACTGTTGGTGGGATTGTAAACTAGTTCAACCATTATGGAAAACAGTATGGCAATTCCTCAAGGATCTAGAACTAGATGTACCATATGACCCAGCCATCCCATTACTGGGTATATACCCAAAGGATTATAAATTATGCTGCTATAAAGACACATGCACACGTATGTTTATTGCGGCACTATTCACAATAGCAAAGACTTGGAATCAACCCAAATGTCCATCAGTGACAGACTGGATTAAGAAAATGTGGCACATATACACCATGGAATACTATGCAGTCATAAAAAAGGATGAGTTTATGTCCTTCGTAGGGACATGGATGCAGCTGGAAACCATCATTCTTAGCAAACTATCACAAGAACAGAAAACCAAGCACCACATGTTCTCACTCATAGGTGGGAACTGAACAATGAGATCACTTGGACTTGGGAAGGGGAACATCACACACAGGGGCCTATCATGGGGAGCGGGGAGAGGGGAGGGATTGCATTGGGAGTTATACCTGGTGTAAATGACGAATTGATGGGTGCTGACGAGTTGATGGGTGCAGCACACCAACATGGCACAAGTATACATATGTAACAAACCTGCACGCTATGCACATGTACCCTAGAACTTAAAGTATAATAATAAAAAAAAAAAAAGAAAAAAAGAAAAAAAAAAAAGAAAATCTATGGTCCTGATTGGCCAGCAGGATCTTCCAGTAGAAAGACATCATTGCATGGCATTATTTCATTTCTATATTTCTGAACTATTTGGACTAAAACTTATCCCTTATCTTTGCTTGCAAAATTTTTGCACATGTATAGAATGAACACAAGTCTTTTTCTCTTTTTCTTTTAAACAGGTGCATATGTAAGGGGTGAGATACTTTTTTCTCCTCTACCAAACTGCTCCTGCTGAGAATTCCACATGGACAATGCCTCTCTAGGGGGTTTACCTCCTTCACTACCATATGGATCCCAGCCATAAAGTAGAAATGACCAAATGAAAGTATTCTTACTTGAACCCTGTCACAGTCACGCCCTTGAAACCTGGTAAAATTCCGTAACCCTTCCGGAACTGAAAAATAAAGCAAGATGAGTGTCATATATGAAAGTCTAGAAATAGGTGTAACAAAAGATCTGAAGCAGAGTAAAAACTACACATTCCTAATCACACTAGGTAAAATTATCTTCCATTTTGTTAACTGTAGGCATTAGATTTCTGAAGAAATAATTCCTATCTATGTCAGTCTGGGTCCTCCAAGAAGTAGACATTAGATGAAATGTGCAAAAAATTTACACAGGGAAATGCCTAGGAAAGAAAACGTGGAGGGAGCAGGGAAGACAGAGCCATCAGACCTCCAAATGAAAGAGAGGGAAGGAAGGTTGGATACAAGCACCCTAGCCCGAACCTGGAAAGGCTCAATAAAGCCTTCCAAGGAGTCCCAGTGTCTGCCAGACACAGATGTGCTGTGCCCTTCATTGGTAGGGAGCAGCAGTGATGGTCGTGGATTTCAGAAGCAGCAGCTGCAACCCTTGCTCCATTACATGACCTGTACTTGGAGGTCTGGGAGGGGCATCCTCATGGCTGCCATACTGCAGGATTGGTTGGTGTGCCAGGTACCTAGGTGGTTGCTATGTAACTCTCTCTTTCAAAGCATATAATTTAGTGTAGTGTGTGTGTGAGGGGGGTTCTCCTGCTGTGCAGACATATTAAATTCCAGAAATGTAAATCAAATATCCAAGAACTCTTCCGAAGTGGCACTTCATCAAGGCACTCATGGGAGATGACAATATTTGGGTGACATGCTGGGATGAGCAGGAGGCTGCTAACAGCCTAAGGCAGGGCTCGGCTGCCAGGAGAAGGGAAGTCATTATCTCAGCCCACCTGTAATAATCTGTGACACATCCATTGGGAAGCTCTGTTCCAAATATGGTAACTCCAGCAAAGTTTTTAGGTTTAGATGAATCAGTTCAATGTGAAGCACTTAAGACAGTGACTGGCAGTTAACACTGGTGGAATAGTCTCTATTTTTATGTGAATAAATTTATATCTGTCTTAGGTATGAATGCCTAGCAACCTCTGGTGTAGAGTGGTTTGAAACCCTCTGTGCTCAGCCACAGGTTTGTCTGTCCAAAAGTTAGGAGTTTCATTCATGTGGTATGTGAAGAATAGAAATGCACCAACTGGTGCTTGTAGGCTATAGGTTCTTGGGGCTTTGAATAAGTTTTAGTGAATTGATGCCACCAAATCTTATCTGAAACAGTTCCACACTGGGAAAAATTTATACTTATAGGTCAAGGTGATGCCACACTGTCCCCTAAACATGATTTGATTTGAGCACATATTAATTCACCATCTCAGATGTAAAAGAATAATAAATCCACATCCATAAGTTCTGACAGATCCAAGCCACTGTTCACTGTGAATGCAATAGACTCAGTTCAGTCCAAACACTTTGTTGGTTAAGAGGCTCTTGGGGCCAAAACCTACCGCTGTTTCCAAGTCGGTCTTGTAGGACCTATAGAGGGCAGAGGAAGTGTTCATGAGGTCTTCTTGAAAGCCTACATTTAGTCTGACTCTCATGTTCAGGGTAACATCTGTTGAAAAACACAGGGAAATATTTAAAAATATCATGTTAGTGTCTGAGTATATACAAACCAGTAACATCTGTAAGTTGTTTTCGTGTGTTCGTTTGAGATGGAGTCTCCCTCTGTCTCCCAGGCTGGTGTGCAACAGTGCGATCTCAGCTCACTGCAACCTCTGCCTCCCAGGTTCAAGTGATCCTCCTGCCTCAACCTCCCGAGTAGCTGAGACTACAGGCGTGCACCACCACACCCAGCTAATTTTTGCATTTTTAGTAGAGGCAGGGTTTCACCGTGCTGGCCAGGCTGCTCTCAAACTCCTGACCTCAGGTGATCCATCCACATCGGACTCTCAAAGTGCTGGGATTACAGGCATGAGCCACCGCACCCAGTTGTAAACTGATGTTGAATAACCACTCAACGCGCATTTAATGAACAGTTACTTACCTTCCTGAAGCAGGCAAAAAGGTCCCTTGGTAGGCAGTTCTTTAAGGCAACTACAATGATGCCCTGGGAGGAAGACGTCATGCTCTTGACAAGTGAGACTGTGAAGGCAACTTTCCCGAGGCCACCCATAGCCTGTCTCGCAGGAGCACCAGATTTCATTCCCAGCGGGTCTGCAGACTATCATTAACCAGAACAGCAAGGAGAGACAAGGTGGAGAAGGCAGTCACCACATTTGTACTCATAGCCTGCATGTATTCATTCTTGAAGAAAATCCTAATCTGACTTTATATTACCTTTCTGAGAACTTCAATAGCATAAAATTGATGTTTGCATGTATGCATCACCATGCTATTAGCCATGACAATCTGAAAGATGACTGCTGTGACGGTTGAGTGATGAATGACTAAGTCATCTTTTAGATATTCATGCCTAATAGCTAATAGTCACCAGATGTCTATGATGATAAGTATAAGGTAGCCAGACTCCAAGATGACCTTTGCCCACCCCTACCACTAGGTATTCATTCAAACCCTTTTGTAGTACCTTCTTATGTTGTACTAGGATTGGTCTATGTAATCAATAGAGTATGGCAGAAGTGATGGTATGGCACTTCTGAGATTAGGTTATTGCAAACACTATAGCTTTCCTCTTGGTTGCTCTCTCTCTTTCTCTCTCTCCTCTCACTCTGGGGGTAGTTGACTGCCATGGCATGAAGGCACATCATGGAGAGGTCCACATGGCAAGGAACTGAGGTCTGCAGCCAATAGCTAGTGAGGAACTGGAGCCTGCCAACAACCACATGAGTGAGCTTAGAAATAAATTTTCCAGGCCAGGTACAGTGGCTCACTCCTGTAATCCCAGCACTTGAGAGGCCGAGGCAGGTGGATCACTTGAGCCCAGGAGTTTGAGACCAGCCTGGGCAACATAGCAAAACCCTATCCTACAAAAAATACAAAAACATTAGCTGGACATGGTAGTGTGTCCCAGCTACTCACGAGGCTGAGGTGGGAGGACTGCTTGAGCCTGGGAGGAAGAGGTTGCAGTGAGTTGAGATTGCAACCACGGCACTCCAGCCTGGGCAACAAAGTGAGACCCTGTCTCAAAAAGAAAAGAAGAGAAAAGAAAAGAAAAGAATTTTTTTTCTCATATGCCAGTTGAACTTTCATATGATGACAGCACTAGTTGATAGATTACTTACAACCTTACGAGAGACCTTGAGCCAGAACCACCCAGCTAAGCTGTTCTAAGATTTCTGAGCCTCAGAAACTGGTTCTATCTTCTAGTAAGAGAACTAAACTTTTTTTTTTCCATTACCATAAAAACCCTACTTGGGACACAAAGACAAAAAGGAAGAAGTGTCGTTTTACATCACTCTCGTGGAGAAAAACAAGAGGCCTTGTCTTGATGGAAACCTCAGTGAGGAAGAATAAGCATTCTCAAATTTCAGTGAGAGCCTCTGGCCAGGGGCTGGTTCATCTCTGGGTCTATGTACCACATAAAAAAAGGGTCAACCTTGGCATGGCAGTGAGTGACTTTCATGGCTTTAGTGCATTTTCATCTTGCAGAGTGAGCAAAAAGGACCAATGCTTCCTTTCTATGTTAAAAGCAGCAGGATGTATGTTAGAGCATACCTCTATTTGTAGACTATTGTAGATATAGTTTATAGGGCAAATAAGTTTATACCTGTATGGAAGTTTATTTTTATATTACTGTTAGTACCAATACTTGTCAATACTTCCACCTTCTACATCTTAATTCTTAACAAATATAAATGCAATGATTAAAAAAACGCTCAGATAACAAATGTTTGTTATTTTATGATGCTAGATTTTAGACTTTGTTATGCATCAATAGATAACAAATACAGAGTACAAGTAAATTTATGCCTTTTACATATCAAGTCAGGTGTGAACAGCCTACATGAACAATGCTCTCATGGGAGACAGTAAGAAATGTTCTGAAATCAGAGTGCTTTGAATCAGTTTCCAAAGCTGGACCAAAGTCACATCTTTGAGAGCTGTTTGTTCTGCAGATGGATGCCCAGGAAAAGTCCCACAGAGTGACTACCCAAAGGGAAGTTATCAAATAGTTGTTTCGGAAATAGGAGGGACAACACGTTCCAGTTAATTCCTTGGATACTGATGCAGCCTGTGTCCCAGCAGTGGGTAGCAGTGGGGCAGAAGAATTAGGAACAGAAGAAACTGGAGTTGCTAACAAAGAAGCTGAGTGCCCACTAGAGGTAATTTGAGGATAGCCAGCAGGATCCCACTTGTTGAAATCTTTCTCTTACTGACATGAAATTCCAGTGCTAAAGCAATTTTGTTGTTGTCTTCTATTTTGTGAGAGAGCATTATTGGAGGAGTGGTCGAAGAACTTTTGAGTCCCACATAAAATACAAATACAAAAAAAAGAATGGAAAAATTACCACCTCCAGACCACCTGCCACATCCCAGGTATTGTTCAGTGCTTTATGCACATTGTCCGGTTTTAAATATCCTCAGTTTTATTTGCCATTACTAAAACGGGATCATAAAGTAGACTGTTGGAAAAATGAGGTGAGGGAAGGATGGAAAAAGGAAGATGGTGAAAGTTTGGATGCTTAGTCATTAGTGCCACGGTCAGTAGGCCTAACCTTCATTGCCCTGCTGCATTTAACATAGAACATACATCCTGCTGCATTTAACGTAGAAAGGAAGCATTGGTCCTTTTTGCTCACTCTGCAAGATGAAAATGCACTAAAGCCATGAAAGTCACTCATTGCCATGCCAAGGTTGACCCTTCTTTTTATGTGGTACATAGGCCCAGAGATGAACCAGCCCCAGGTCAGAGGCTCTCACCCAAATTTGAGAATGCTTTTCTTCCTCACTGGGGTTTCCACCAAGACAAGGCCTCTTGTTTTTCTCCACAAGAGTGATGTAAAAGGACACATTTTTCTTTTTGTCTTTGGGCCCTTTGGGTTTTTATGGTAATAGAAAAAAAAAAGTTTAGTTCTCTAATTAGAAGATAGACTCAGTTTTTGAGGGTCACCCACCCCATTCACTTCCTCTTTTAGGCCAACTCCTCTTAGCTGTTCCCTGCTGGTCCTGAGGTCCATGAGCCTCAGGCTTTCTCTGCCACATTGAAATATTCACTTTTGTCAAACCTGTTTCATAGTTCACTATCAGAAAAGATTCACCCCCTCTATGTGTGAATGACCAGTCTTTCTGGAAGGATAAATTAAACTTTCCAAGGTCAATTGCATTTAATTGAGAAGCTTGTTAACCCAAGTTTTTAAGATGGTGAAGCCTCTTGAAGTCATCCCATGTCTAGAAGAAAAACTAAGAGAGTTTGTTAGTATGTTTATATTGAATGTATGGAAGGTAAACTCACAACTAAAGCTCAAGGGTCTATAATCATTAGTTGTTCAACAAAAAACTATTTTTGATACTTGGTCTGTTTTGTTTACTGGATTCATTTAGTAGCACCTACAAAACACCAAAAAGTTTTTGTTAAAAAATTTGGGAAGGAAAATTGACTAAAATCTATGAATAATTTATTCTAAAGGCAAAAGATCTGTGCTGGGTGGGAACATAGAAGGGTATTTCCTATGTATTTTCCAAAGTACCCTAGTTTGGTGAGATGTTCTATGGATAAAGAGTGGGAAACACAGCAGAAGCTCACTGCTCCTGAAGGACTTCCAATGCACATTGGCATCCAACTGGAAAATCACTAACTCAAGGAAATTAGTATTAATGGTAGGAATCAGTGGGAAATGGCATCTAAAAGGAGTGGTAAGGGAGCTATGACTTCGAGTAGCATATATTAAGAATCAAAAATTAAAATGCATGTACCGACATTGGGATGGACTATTTGAAATATGAGAATTCAAAAAGAATTTCAAAAACAAGAATTTTTTTCTTGCTCTCATTTTAGAATAATAAAACCCAACACCTATTAGTGCTTTCCAGTTTAAAAAGCAATTCCCTTTTATCAGATAACTGGGAGCCTTATCTTACAACTTCTACTGTATACCAGTTCTTGGGTGATGGTCTCTGGAGACATAGGAAAGCTAGCATGACATTGGAAAAGAGTTTGCAACCAGAAAGTCCAATCTATGGCCTGAAAGGTTCTACTTAATGCCTTGCTTCTGATGCAGGCATATACCTCATTCCTATTTCCTGACCTATAATGCCAAAGAGAAGGGTATCTGGTACTTACTAATATCTTGAACCAGTCCTTTCTATGTTCATTGATATACCAAGGGAAGAGGACACAGGGAAGAGGATCCAGTAGTTTATCTGCCCAAGGGAAGAGGACCCAGTAGTTTATCATGAAGGACCTGGCCATATCTTGGGACCACTTTATGATAAGCATCACACAAACCACCAAGCAAACCTCTGGTCACCATCTAAAATAAGAAACCTCTGGCTGTAGAGTTTACTGATAAAGGCTTCATTCAGGAAGGCTATGAAGTCATAGAATCACACATCAGTCTCGGTGAGTCATTTTACTTGCCTACTAAGTAAAAGATTGCTCTGATAGTCACGAGCTCAGACAGTCTTTCTCAAGACATCCGATCATTTATTCTGAAGCAATGGGTCTCTTACTCACCTGTTGTCACATTTATGCTCAAAATTTGGTCAGTGTTATTCCCATGAATTGGAAAACTGAGGCTGTTCAAGTAGGCTTTGATAGGATCCAGGAAGGATGCATTTTCAAAACTGATCTCAATATTAACAGAGTATTCTTCAGCTGTAGGACTTTTCGTGGCAACTGCAATGAAAGCACATGAAGGCTGAGAAAACTTACCATGGGAGATGGAGCAAGATCATGATGGATTTTTCAGCAGTTAAAGGTAATGACAGGTACATGTGAATGGTTGGTCTATCAAGCCTTGGGAATTTCTAGTGAAACCTTTCAGAGAAAAAGAAGAGTTTATCTACTCACCACCTTGGTGTCCAAGGCCAAGCACTGCTGTGTGAAGTATGGACTGTAATGAGGCAAGAGTGGAAGCAGAGAGAATAGCAGGGAGGGTCTGGAAACCATTCGGGCAACATATGTCACAGTCAGCACTCAAAGGAGTGAGTCAGTGTTTCATCTGCAGTATGCATCGGTCAATAGATGTGTACTCTAAAGGCTGAACCAAGCATGGCTTGAAGACATCCGGGAAAAGTCACCCAGTTAATTCCCTTTGCCCTTAGCCTATGGAAAGAGCATATCTTCTTTGCTCTTCCTCTGAATTTCCAGTGCTCAGAACATGATAGGTGCTCAACAAAAGTTTGGCAAATTGGAAAGTAAAATAAAATAGATTTTCAGCTCTTCATTGTTTTTCCAAATTGTCTCCAGGTGGTAACTGGCTGGCATTCAAGATGGATCTGTTCCCCAACACACAGCTACATCAGGCAGGCTAATATATATGCATATGTGTGTGTGTATGTGTATGTGTGTGTATATATATTATATATAGAGTACATATATAGTATATACAGTCTATATATAGAACTATATATAGACTACTAGATATACTATGTATAGTATATTTAGCATATATAGTCTATATACAGTAGTCTATATAGAGTAGTCTATGTACAGTCTATATATACAGACTATATAGTCTCTGTATATAGTCTATATAGTTTGTATATAGTCTATATATAGTACTCTATGTATTTAGTAGTCTATATAGTCTATATAGTCTATATAGTATATATAGCATAGTATATATCTGATATAGTCTATATATAGTATGCTATATATAGTCTACTCCATGTTTATGTGGAGACTATATATAGATAGATAGCTAGATAAAGTCTACCCTGCCTGATGTAGGTGTGTGTTGAGGAACAGATCCACCTTGACTATAGTAGTCTATATTGACTACTATATATATATATAGACTATATATATATATAGACTATATATATATACACACACACACACACATATTCTGGGAATTGTTCTTTCATAGTTTTCTATAACACATTGTGTCTGGGCCACTAATTTTAAGCTTCCCAAGAGCAGGAACTGTTTCTTTCATGTTTCTTTCACTTCTCTTAGCCTTACTTACTCCATCTGGCAAAGAGCTTACCATATTATAAATATGTGGCCAATCAATTCTGGTTAAACCTGAAACTCTCTGAGTCAAGTCTCAAATTCACCTCTCTGTCACTGACAGAATCTTTGGCCTAATCTTGGCTAGAATATATAACTGAAGCCATGGGCACAGTTAATACTTAATAAAGAACCTGCAAGGAATAAGGTTTTACACAGATAGATTGAGAATATTTTTCTTTTTGTTGGGACAGGGTCTCTCTCTGTCGCCCAGGCTGGAGTGTAGTGGCATGATCTTGGCTCACTGTGACCTCCACTTCCTGGGCCCAGGTGATCCTCTGGCTTCAGCCTCCCGAGTAGCTGGGACCACAAGCTCATACCATCATGCCCAGCTAATTTCTGTGCTTTTTGTACAGATGGGGTTTCGCCATGTTTCCCAGGCTTGTTTTGAACTCCTAGGCTCAAGCGATCTGCCTGCCTCGGCCTCCCAAAGTGCTGAGATTACAGTCATGAGCTGTTGTGCCCAGCCATTGAAAATATTTTATCTTGTCAGTCAAATAAGGAAAAAATTAGTGAATACTTACAAAATTATTACTTTAAAATTTACCTTGTATCTGAGAAGATGAAGTTTATTATACCATAAAGTTAAAATTCTATGTTAAAAGGGCAAAAAATTTTCCCATAATATTTTAAGATCTAAATATTCCAAGGACTCTTGGTGTGAAATACTAAAGTAGAGTAAGTTTATGCTGGGAAACTCTAATTGTTGAATGTTTATTTCAGAAAGCTGTAACATTTGTCCATTGAGCTTGGTAAACTGTTTGTCTTAGGTCTTTGGTTTTACCCATCAACCTTATTGAGAAGAATTTCATCCTGGCATCATTCAGCTTCTGCAATTAACTCAGCCTATAAAAAAGGTCTGTGCAGATTTTCCTAAAATTAAAAATGGATATTAAGGTATATTTCTTATTTATAAAAATCTACTTAACAAATACAATAAAGTGACTTTTATAAGAATGCAGAAACTCAGCCTGTCACGATAGTATGGCATTGCCTAAAATTTCCTATTGACTTTTGATTCTCAAATGGTTCTGTGATGAAAACAAGCTTCCTGGAAGAATGGCTAATCTTATTTTATGTAATTCTAACTATGGACACACTATGCTGTCCACTGGGAATATTTACGAGGAGAAAGGCTGCATAATATTTACAAGTTCTGCCTTAGTGCACATTCTTTTTCCTAAAAAGTAATGCAGCAATGTTTATATCCTCCAGAGGGTTCACTACCTCCAGGATCCTCTTTGCCATGCCAGTCTACTCTCCTCTCATAAATAAAAACAGGATTTCCTGGATGGTAGCTGCCTTTTGCATGGGTGAGGTCAGTAACAAATTCATATCATATCCACTTCATTACTGGCTTTGTTGCATCCCAGGATCTGATCTCGCAAAATATCAATGCCTGCCTGAGGGTCATGTCTGGCCCTGAGCCTACTCCCTGTGCTCTTTTCAGTCACAACTGAAGAACAAGTGTGTGCAGAGAAAGCACATGGTGGTTCATGGACATCATCACTCCACATTGAAACCAAGGCAGTTCTGTTCAGATTTTACAAGGAGCCGAGCCAAAGCATGAAGAACTAATAGGAAAGGCTCTTGTGACCTTAGCAAGTTTCAGTCTATAGCATTCCTGCAGTTGTTAATGTGAGCACCCAGCCTCTAAGGGCCTCTTTCCTTTACCTTTTATGTTCTCCAACAGCTTCTAAAAAGAGTTTCAGAATCACCCTCCGCCTGAGTGTCACCTCTCTAGAAACTAGTACGGATGGGGAACCTCTAATAGAGAGGGAAATGCCTTCTCCTTGAAAATACTCATTCGAAACAGGCTCAAAAGCACCATTATAATTTCGCAGGCTGTTGGCTTACTCTTGGAAATCATCTACTCTAGTGATCCCCAAACTTAACTGAGGATTATACACACCTAGGGAATACACACACACACGCGTGTGCACGCGCGCACACACACACACACAGAGACAGAGAGAGAGAGAGAGAGAGAGAGAGAGATTTTGGAGGCTCAGTCCATGTGAACCAAAGTAAAATATATATGGGTTAGGCCCAGAAGCCTGTATTGCTGTATTTTTTTTTTTTTTCAATTTCTACTGGTGATTTTGATGATCAAGTAGGTTTGAGATCTAGCGTTCCAATCCAAATGAAGAAACCCAGAAGGGAATCTTGGAGAGCCAATATCAGCACCTAAACTTGTGTTTGGCTTTGCTTTTTGTTTTCAGACACCTCCTGCTGCTGCGCCTGTGGAGGCAAACCCTCAGGCGGTCTCCAAACATATTTGTTCACACATATTTTCCCTCTCTTGCCTCAAGGGAACTGATACGTGCTCATTCCCTCTCTTCAATGATACTGGATAAATCAGTGATGATAGTGAAAGTAACAATAACAGCAGCAGTTGCATTTATTCATCATCTATTAGGTTCTAGGGCCATGAGGACAGTATGCATATATCCATTTTGCAGATGGCAAAACTAAGTTTCAAAATGTTGAAGCCACATTGACAGTGCTGGGATTGGAAACATTTTTCTGACTCCAAAGACCATTTTCTTTTCATCATACCCTGCCACACCTCAGATAGAAGAAGATAATGAATGAGACCACCTTTTTTTTTTTTTTTTTTAAATAATTTAAGTTCTGGGATACATGTGCAGAACATGCAGGTTTGTTACATAGGTATACACGTGCCATGGTGGTTTGCTGCACCCATCAACCCGTCATCTACATTAGGTATTTCTCCTAATGCTAACCCTCCCTAGCCCCAACCCCCCGACAGGCCCCAGTGGGTGATGTTCCCCTCCCTGTGTCCATGTGTTCTCATTGTTCAACTCCCACTTATGAGTGAGAACATGTGGTGTTTGGTTTTCTGTTTCTGTGTTAGTTTGCTGAGAATGATGGTTTCCAGCTTCATCCACGTCCCTGCAAAGTACATGAACTCATCCTTTTTTATGACTGCATACTATTCCATGGTGCATATGTGCCACATTTTCTTTATCCAGTCTATCATTGCCAAATGGGACCACTTTGTAAACTTTAAAGTACTATGAAAAATATGAGTTATTATTGTTAAATGTGTCTTTAGAGCTTGATGTACAATTCCTAAAGTAAATTCTAAAATAGAAGTCAAGTTCAAAGGCAAAATGATTAATAATGAATCAAAGAATTATGTAAACTGTTGTTTAATTCTATTCAACATAATAAATGTCTTAAAAATTTACATTCAGGGCCAGGCACGGTGGCTCATGCTTGTAATTCCAGCACTTTGGGAGGAAGAGGTGGATGGATCACAAAGTCAGGAGTTCGAGATCTGTCTGGCCAACACAGTGAAATCCCATCTCTACTAAAAATACAAAAATTAGCTGGGTGTGGTGGCAGGCACCTGTAATCCCAGCTACTTGGGAGGCTAAGGCAAGAGAATCACATGAACTCAGGAGGTGGAGGTTGCAGTGAGCCAAGATCACGCCACTGCACTCCAGCCTGAGAGACAGAGCTAGACTCAGTCTCAGAAAAACAAAAACAAAAACAGTGTACATTCAGGAAAAATGCATTGTGTCCCATTGTCATTGATACTCATGTATTTTGATATTAAGCCTTGCTCCGCTCATTTGTTTGTTCCTTGATTTAATGATTTACCTGAAATTTTACTATTTATTGAATGTCTGTTT